AATTATGGCTTTGCTATAATGCCAGAAAAAGAAACGTCGCAAATAGTGTTTACCCTAATAAAACCCTGTTAATAGCACAATTTTTCATCGGCTTATATCTCCGACCCTCATATCAATTCCTTTCATAGCAAAAGCGCTCCTCACAATTTCTGTAAATTTGGCAGTTTAACGCTACGCGTACCGCCTTGACCGGACTGTGCGGTATCTGTGCAGTTCTGTGTGTAGAGAGGTCGGGCCGTAATCATTATTTCTTGGGGGTGCATAAATTGCTCTAATTATACGTACGCGTGTAATGCGCAAGTTTATTGTGACGGCACTAAACCCATCCCACTCATTGTTCCCCTATTTTCATAATGGTACTGACCCAATGAAATGTGCAGTGCGCTCACGAGTACGCGCTGCGCTGCGTGTGTACATGTACTGTACTTATGTATGCATGTTCAGTTATATGTGTATGCATGGCATTACGTACATGACATGCATACACGGCTAGCTGGCACAAAACCCTGGGTCGGGCTTCTAAAAAAATGGTGAAGCATGATTTGACATGAAAATTGACGGGGCTAAATATGAATCAATCAAAATGAGCTTTATATGTATGAAAAGCTTACGTATCATACGTCATTGTCTGGGATTGAGGATTTACAAATTTGACGCAAAACGCGTTGCTGCAAAGTTAAAGATTGGTATATTGAAAGGCAATCGAGCACAGTGCGACCGATCCATTGACATTGTGTATGAGAAAGTAATTTTTTTTAAATGGATTGTAAAGTTCAACGTCAAAGTGACGGAGGTTTTTTTTCAAGTAAGAGCATGGTTTTACATGGAATGTAAAGGAAATGTTTCCTTCTTCTCATATCTCGATTGAGGATATTATACTCAATTTCGATTTTTAATGGTAAAGAAAAGTGTAAAAAGATGTCGAGAATTTTACCATATGTCATGTAATATAAAATGCGCGCGGGTCGGTTGATCTCCCAAAAGGAGCGCGAAGGAATTGATATGTTCCTCATGGCAGGTAAAAACTGCCACAAAAAGTTTCGCTTTTCATGAACATGTCAGCAAATTGTCGAGGAGGGGCAGACGTTTAATTTTGCAGCAATTTGCGTCCAAATCCGATTAGTATATTACCGTCGCCAATGCCAAGGAAACAAATGTCGCAAACAGTGTATATACCCTAATAAAACCTTGTTGATAGCAAAACTATTCATTGGCTTACCAACGACCCTTTCCTCACGGCAGGTAATAACTTCCCTAAACAGAATCGCTTTTCCATGAAAATGTTGGCAACTTGTAAAGAGGGACAGCCCTTAATTAAGCAGCAATTTGCGTCCGGATCCGATAGTATTACCGTCGCCAATGCCAAGGAAAAAAATATCGCAAACAGTGTACACCCTAATAAAACCTTGTTGATAGCAAAACTATTCATCGGTGACCACCCACCCTTTCCTCACGGCAGGTAATAACTTCCCTAAAAAGAATCGCTTTCCATGTAAATGTTGGCAACTTGAAGAGGAGGGACAGCCCTTATTTTGCAGCAATTTGCGTCCGAATCCGTTAAGTATTCCTGTCGCCAGTGACAAGGAAACAAATGTCGCAAACAGAGTAATCAACCCTGGTGATATCAAAGATATTCATCGGCTTACCTCCAACCCTTTCCTCCCTAAAGAGAATCGCTTTTCCATGAAAACTGAACTACTTTGGAGAAAAGAAGAGAGAGAGAGAGAGAGAGAGAGAGGAGACTGCAAACCTATAGGATAATATGACACACAGGGGCGGCGATTTTTTAATTTTAATTTTTAATTTTTTTAGGGGGAAAAAAAATCTGCACCCCTCCCCCCCCCCCCCCCCCAACTCTTACATGGCACATGCAGGCCCCGCGGAACGTTTTTCAAAGCAGGAGGGGGGGGGGGGCTAAAGTATTTTCGATCAGAGCAAAGTTAGTGAAGCAAGTGGAGTGTAATTTGGCTTGGGGTCCAGGGGCAAAGCCCTGGCGGGGATCAAGGGGCGTGTCCCCATAAAGCTCATGGGTTTTATGCATTTACTAACGGTCAGATGAGCATCTAGGTGCCCGCTTTAGGGCCCCTGTTTACCTTTCAAGGGGCGGAGCCCGCGGAAGCTCAGGGTTTTTAGTCATTATTTTAATTACGGTCAGATGAGCAACCATGCAGGGGTCCGCCTTAGGGCCCTTGGTGGGGTAGGCAGAGCCCCTGGAAGCTCAGGGAAAAAACCATGCCATTTCAGCAACATTTGTAAATCACTGGTATCGAATTAGAAATAAACCACGTTTGAATTTTATTAGGGGGAACTGCCACCAAGCCCCCCCCCCCCCCCCCCCCCGCCGTCATTACGCCAGTGCGATAGAGCATAGAGAACGAGACGGGTGAAGGCGGGGTAAAGATGACGGAAGTGACTACCCCCTTACAGGTTTTTAAAGTTTTGTGGTAGTAACAAATTACATTCCTTAGCAAAACAATAGTATAAAAACTAGAAATGCAATCGTGTCACAACGATGTGCGTGCAATGACGCCATGTTTCTACTTGTCAAACGAAGGAGCTACTCTCGGACTATCCAGAGCAATATGTACGAAGTCTGTAGCTTCTGTGATAGTGGAGATAGTTAGGGCGAAAGAAAGGTCACCAAAACGGCCCGAAACGGAAAAAATGGTGCCTGGACGGTAACGCATGAGGGTTTCCGGAGAACGAAGAATTCAGTAACCTTGAAGGAATGCTAGAGACTACGCCTACGAATTTTGAAGGGAATTGGAGTAGAGGAAGGGATCTCGAAAGGGCTCGCAGGCACTGCGTGCAAAACCAATAGGACTTGGTGCATGATGAACATGTTGCGACGCGTGCTTTGGCACGAACGGCCGCCCATACTAACACAACCGAATAACAGTCTTAAAAATGACGTCATGGCCGAAACGTGTTATAATAGGGCGGAAACTCGGCGGAATTCGTATAGTGACCCTTGTTCAAATGCGATTTACTCACAATTTTCTGCGTGAACATATACCATACTTGGTATCATTCGAAAGGGCACTTCAGTGCGGTCAGTTTGAAACCGTTGTCATCTGCGCAAAACATACTGCACGCATCAAACGCGCTATTACGTAAAGCATAGTAAATTCATCATTTTTGGCGATAACTTGGCGAAGAGGGCATTACAATTGACTAAACTTAGCAGACAGTTGTCACGTACATGGATACATGTGTCTGCCAAGTTTCATTGATGTAGGAATAAAGATCGCCGGTTTAGAGCAAGTTGAAGTCATTTCTCAATTTTCTTGAAAAATGCATATTTGGAGGGCATTTTTCGCAAAGTAGGTCAGCGTTGGGGTATATAATTTTGTATATGGCTGGAAAGGGCATATCTTCAAGTATCTAAATCCAAAAAAGGGTACGGGTTTGCCAAGCCATTATGGAGATACGGCCACAGAAAGAAAGCCAATTCCCAGAACTTTAGAGGGCGCTATTTATGTTTTGCATAGTCATTGGAGCATGAAATTTGGCATGGCTATGTGCAATTATAAGATAAGGATAATGTGAGATTTAAACTCAAAACGGAATTTATATGAGAAAGTTATGGCAGTTTTAGATTTTTAGGGGTCCATTTTTCAAGAATATGAGAGATTTTTGACGGAGTCAGTTTCAGATTTGAATTTTGAGTACGAAGATGGCATTTTGAAGGTCAAGTTATACGTCGCAGATGAAAGAACATCTCTTAGACTATCTAGAGGAATTTGTTAGAAGTTTGTAGGATCTAGGATAGTGGAGAGAGGAAGGAAGAAAGAAAGGCCTTAAAATGGACCAGAAACGGACAAAACGGCGCCTGGACGGTTATGCATGAGTGATTTCGAAAATCGAAGAATGTAGTGACCTTGATGAGATGTTAGAGACTATGCCTATGAAATTTGAAAGGAAAAGGACATGAGGAAAGCACCTAACTAGGAATAACAAACACTACGTGCAAAACGAATGGGATTTCTGGACGATAAGGAAAACAAGGAAAAGGAAAATATTAATGGGGCAGAATGTGAACGAAAACAAGGCAATGACGAAGGTCGTCATTGCAACAAGCAAAATACCTTTTTCACACTTCACTTTTCTACAATATTTACTTGTACAGTTTAAAGAATATTAATTAGCTACGGGGTGCGTAGCTCCCGAGCGAGAAGACTTCTCAAAATTTTGAGGGAGGGACGTGCATTTTCCCCCGTCCTCCGGGATCGCCACCCCTGATGACACAGATCGACAAATCCAAACCGGAGAATAACTAGAACATGAGGCCATTCCATGAAGCTAGCCAAAACAAGGAGCCGCCTTGACATCAGGAAAATTTCCTATACAGAGAGTTGTAAACAATATTAGAACAAGCTGCCACAAACTGCCATCTCCCACATTCCTCATGCAGCTACAAACGACAAAGTTACTATCCAACCTGGGTTTTTTAATGGGTCTCATGGGATCCCCTTAACCCTGCATGCAACACCACATCACTATCTACTGTAACTATCTTCATCACCACGATGGCGAGGTGTATCCTTCAATTAGGTATATTCCCTGTCGATCAGTCCAGGCTCTGCTCAAGGCGCTTTAGGAGTTGTAGTACAGTGTCAAAGTAGAGTCCTGTAGTGTTGGAATAGTGATTACCGATTACTTGTACCATATTACCCCAGTCTCACTGATTAGGCCTTTAAAAAAAAAGATGTTCTTTTGCCCTTTTAATAGGTGTCAAAACATGGGTCGGTGGATCAGAAATCTTTTTTTTTTATAGACTCTATATACTTTAAAAAAAAAAAAATTATCCCTCTCATATTTCTCAGTTTTGAATGTTTTGATACATTTTTTCCTCCAAAACACGGTTTAAAAAAAACTATTTTAAAAAGCCGACCGTCGATTTCAACATTTTTGGGTCGGTCGCAAAGGGCAATCATCATTCGAGCTTGACTGAGCTGTATCTAGTCTACAACTTATAAACTAATAATAACATACAAATACATTTATAAACTCACCCGAATACAAGACTACAGTGACAAACATCGCGTGTACGCTCTGCATATTCTTCATCTATTAATGCATTTAATTAAACACCAGCCATATTCAGGACTCATAATTTCATCAAAATGTCTGCTTTGAATTTAATGAGATCATTGAAGTACTCTGCAATTTGCCAAAGGACATTTTCGGCTGCATTTTCAGTTCAACATTTTGGTGGCAATGGATGTGCAGTCCCACGCGTAACGAATTATGTGTGCCTTCCGGGGGACAATCCGCTGAACGCGAACGGACTCCAGCCTGTAAATATTTCAAGACATTGTGATTCACTCACACAACGATCGTTTGTGCACACATCTTCAAATTCATTCGCATGGGATGCTAAAAACAAGAAAGTTTATCCTCCTCAAAAACCCGGAGAACCTAGAAGTCCTGCTGTAAGTAGAAATTAGGCTCTGAGTCTGAGACTGAGTCTGACGCCGACGCCAAAAAAGGCTTCGGAGCTTCAGACAGCGGGTTGGGCGACATTATCTCAAAGTATGCAAAGGGATTAATTAAACTTTTGACTTACTAGGTTGCTCGACTCCTCTGGGCATCTCGCAGGCCACTTGAAGTTATAATTTGAAGAAGTCTTAGATGGGAAAAAGGGGGTGATTCTTCTTCCTACCCCGACGATTCTTCCATGTGCATGTTGTATCGTTGATTCAACATGGTGAAGAGAAAGTACGCATGCACGGTAGCGGCGCAGCAAATTTAATGCGTGCGTAGACTACTATCTCTTCGCCATGTTGAATCGCAACGGAAGTGCAATGGCAGTGCCAATACGTAATATTACGTAAGTGACTGACATGTCATGCTTTAAACTTCACACATAATGAAACGCACAATCAGCATAGATCTAGATCTAGATAGTACTTAAAATAGAAAAATCACTGAACATTTTAGTACAACTTGCAAGTTTATACATGTACCTTGAATATGACCAAAATGGGAATTTTTCTAACTTAAAAAAAGTTAGGTAAGACTAAACTGCAGTGAAATACTTCACCTGAAAAAAATCATAACAAATAGAAGGCTTGACTTTAATATCATGATTTTGGTATCAGATCAAACGGAAACTCGCAAGCTTTCTCCTCGCACCAATATCTTATAACATTGAGAGAATGGCAGCCAGCAATAGCCAATCAGAAGGGCTCTTGTAGGCGTCAATTTAGGAAATAAGGCCGAGACCAGATCAACGTAATGCACATGCGCTAGAATCGGCTAGCTGTAAGCTCAAGTTCTACGTGCTAGACCACTAGTGCTCTTTGGTAAAGCATCGATCCTCATTACCAAATCCTTCAGCTCAGAGAGGACTTAAAGCCGTCAGTCCCCTGGTTGCTTACTTACAAGCACATACCGGTACATTCTTTCTTAGCAGTCGTGTTAAACAAACCAAACCATATTATGTTGGTGCATGTTTTCATTGTTTTGTTAACTGCAGTCTCACAATTAATACACAGCACAGTTGCAATTGATTAGATACATATCGCATTAAAAAGACTTGGTGTACCAAGCCACTGCAGTTACTCCAGAAGGATGGAAACTAGAAGTAGGGTAGGGATAGAAAAGTTATATTAAAAAAGTAAATTGTTTTTTCTTTCACAAGATGGAAGCCTAGAAAATGCCATTGAAATATTTATCCTCTTTGCTTTGTCTTTGGCAGGAAATCTACTACTCTCGGAAGGATATTAAGCATAGCCAAAGAAAGATGTGGTATATTACTACTTTTGTAAGTCACTTATAACTTTTCAATATGTAGGTTCATAATATATTGTAGAATTGTAAATGACATTTTTTTTTTAAAGTGAGTCAGAGACGATGTAGAAAGATATCTCTGTTGGGGCTATCTTATTGATTAAGATATTTCTAAAGTAGTGAAATTTGTCGGACTTAATTAGGACGGATGCATCAGATTCATTCACTGCACGTAGTATCAAATGAAAATGATTCAGAATTTTAATTTTCAAATTCTATATTTAAAGGGCAATCCAACCCTTGTAATAAGTTGATTTGTATGAAAGCATAAAAATAACAGAAACGGAATGGAAAAAGTTTGAAATGAATCGGACCAATAGTAAGGAAGTTATGAATGTTTGAAATATGAGATCACTAAGTCTGCGAATTTCAAATTAGCAGTTTGGTCAGTAGATTTTGACTTAGGACGTGGATAACTCTCCCATTTGCTGTGTACAAAAATATCATTAATTTCTATTTTTCTTGTAAGTTTCTTCTCCCTTGAGGTGCTACTCAAAATATATTATAGATAACATTTTATTATGGGTCTTCTAAAGAAATAGACCCTCCTAAGCCATGAATTTATGAACAATTTAAATTTTAGTCATTTTATATGTTGGAACTTGGAACAGATGGGAAAGTAGTCTGGCGCTACATCACATTGACATTACTGCTTCAGCCAATTTGAAGTGCCCATAGGTATAGTGATTACAACTTTCCAAAATTCATAACTTTCTTATATTTTGTCAGACTTTGAAACTTTCATCACTTTGCTTCTTTGATCTTTCTGCTCTCTTTTAAAGTAGTTGTTTATTTGGGTTGGCTTTCCTTTTAATGTAATGGAGAGATATTGCATTTTTTATACTTTGTAATACCTTTGTATTCGTAGTTTTTTCGTACATCATGAAACAGCAGATTTCATTTTATGTATTTATTCTCTCCAACCAAATAGATCAAAGGAATGATGATTGATGATGCTGTAGCACAGCTTGAACATGTGAATAAGAAAGCAGCGAAGATAGCAAGAGAGGTATATATTACATGTTTATAAACCTCCCATTTCCCCCCTTCCCTTTCTTTTTTTTTTGTCTGTATATCTGTTCCTTTGTAATGTATCACTCTCTTTCTATATAGAAGTGTTGTGGTTCAGTAGTTCATGCATGTATTGTATTCAAGATGTGGAGGGTTCACTTCAAATATCAGCCTCATGCCTGGCAGTAAAGTACTTTTTTATAAGGTTATTAACTCTATATATGCAACAAAAGTAATTTCCCTTTGCCATATTGTATTCATCATGGGATAGATATACCAAAGGCTTTCAAAATTATTTAACTGTTTCTAGTGCAAGATTTTTCATACTGGTGTTGAAAAGGTTGTTATGGAGCTAATCAAGAATGAAAATGGGTAATTTTGCAAAGCCATTGTGTTGCACAAAGCACTCCTTCTGTCAATAGATGCCAATTGTTTTGTGCAAAATTGCTCGTGTGGCAAACTAGTGATCATGCAGAGAGGCAAAGAAAGCAACCCAAGTGTTGATACACACACTTGCTACTCTTTGCCCAAGTGCAGTAAATGGGTTCCTGGTTGAATAATGTCTCTTGGATCCTTTTAGAATCGTACAAGATATCCCTTTGAAAGCTTGACAAATTATATGAAAGTGAATGTGCAAAATTGAGTATTATATAATCATGTTCACTATGTTAGTGATAATTTCACAGGATTCTTTGGGGTTTCTGACATCAAATATAATTTTCCCCATGTTCAGGTCCTTCTGGAAGCCCAAGAAGAAGCAGTGAAAAACCACAATGTTGAATTCAAGTCCAATCTACATATAGGTGAGTTTATGAGCAATATCACATCAGAATTAATAGGAAATCTCTGGTTTAACGTCAGTTACTTTCTTTCAATATTCATGAAAATTGTGTGATCTGAATGAAGCGATAGATGCAATGTGCTTACATGATGTGTAAATTGTGTGAACGGTTATTATTTTCGGGTAATTGGCTAGAGGAGGCTAGTCATGCTGATATGCATTCATCTCCACAGGATGGTGACCTCGACCGTACTTATGAATGAACTGGCTAAAGACAGTGGGTGAAATTCCTTAGTTTGTAGATGGTTATATGTCAGCTAGCATGTAATTGGATTTTTGTATTTCAAAATATATTATTAATGTAATAGTTGGATTCTGTTGGATTTTATTTTAATTTTTGTTATTTTCACTAAAGTTCAATTTCCTTCTTTTTCTTCTCAGCGGAAGCACTAGTGGGGAAGGGTAAATACCAGCATGCTATCAGATTCCATGCTAAGGGTAGGGCCAGTATGTTGGACCTAGTCTACTGCCATCTAAACATCAAACTCCAGGAAGGACCACCACCAGAGAAACCCAAGTTCACCGGCTATGATCAAGCCAAGCACTACATACAGTCTAAAAGGAACCGGACTATTATTGCAGGACTTTGAGTTTCTTGTATGTAAGACTTTGAGGGTTCAGTGACACATTTGATATCAAAATGTTCAGAAAAATGTGGGCTTTCCAGGAAACACAAAGACTCAACTCCACCCAACGCCCCCATTGAAGTCAATGGCTAGTGAAACATAGACTTAAGGCCCAAGTGATCAGTGACACATAAACCACCTTTTCTCAAATTGGAGTTACGTCTGACCAATTGACTTGGCCTTCTGCTATATATTCATCAAAATCCAGGAATTAGGACATCCACCAGAGAAACCAAAAATTACAGACTATGATCAAGCAAGGCACTACTTATAGTCTTAAAAGAACAGGACTGATATGGCGGGAATCTGAGCCCCTAGTATGCTGGACCTGGTCTATTCATCAAATTCAAGAAATATCAATATTTATCGGTTATGATGAAGCAAAGCACTACCTGGATTCCAAAATGAATATGATTATTATTGCAGGACTCTGAACCAAGACAGTCACTCATGATACTTTGTATATTATTATGATATAGCAGACCATTGAACTCTGAACAAGGCATTTCCTCAGGTGCTTGGTATTACATGTACAGTATTGTGTTAAATGAAGATCATATAGAACAAATATTTTGCGGGACTCTGAAATGGGATATTCTCTAACCCTGATTGTATTTTTTTTTTTGGTGTGTTTTGAAAAATTCATAATTGGACCGCCATTGCTGGGCTCTTCCTGAGGCTTATGATATTGCTTTTCTATATTTAGTGATATCTATATTGATGTTATAACAAAAAAGGAAATATCTTGCTCAAAATTAACAAAGAGGAGTCAAAATCTCTGGTAATTAAGAAGCCTGGGAATATTTGAGGGTGGCAAATCAGAAGAGAGGCTTGGTTGAAACAAGCTGGTTTGATAAGGGCAGATTACAATGTAAACATAGTTTTGAAAGGCCATTTGAGATTAATATGCTCCTTAAATAGCCCTCTTCTCTTTAATATGGACTTGCCCCTTAATGGCACCATAAATTACAAGTGATGCAGTCCTAAGAAATTATATCTGTTTCATTGTAAGATGTAGCTTACAACATGGTGACTGTACACATCCGTCTGATACTAATGCTAATCAATTAAATGAATTGAAACATTGAAGACATCAAGCATGAAATGTGTATGAATTCAAACTCAGTTGTAAATTAAAGCGTATTCTTAAAAGTAATACAAAGTTTTGGTATCAAGTCATGAATTTGGTTCAAATTAACATATTGGAAGCATGTGTGATCCTACAATATTCAGTGATAGTTATCGTGGTTGAAATCAAGTCTTAAGTTTTGAAATTGTAAATAATAAACTCTTTATGTTGTATAGCTCCCTCTCAAGGTCAATATATTAATTAAGATATATAACAATGTTACTTGACAAAAATCAACTGATTTGCTATTCCCGTTTGAAAATTATAGATCACAACTACATATTCTGAGATTTTCATGGTCGCAGCTACCATTGTATGGCCGTAGGCGCTATTTGAAATTTATATATTTTTATATTCCATTTTTCTCGAAAGCAGAAGTGTTTTAGGGGCTAAATTTTGTATTGCTTATCCACAGGGGCATCCAAATATATCAAATTATAAAGAATCACTATCCATCCAATTTTCAAAATTTCCCAAAACTTAGTATTACCTTTAAAAGCACCGTTACAAAAGAAAACTAAACATCAACAAATCACAACATATCAGTACTCATTCCCACACAATGCAAAGAATGCATTGATCTCATCTTCACACCAAGACCCAAACATTGTAATCATGACACGTGGACAAGAGAGGTGGGAATTTATGTACAAAATTTATGAAGCATACATGATAATATATACAATATCTATACAGAGCATTTGAATAAAAGCTACACCTCACTATGATGGGAAATGATAGTTTGCCATGTCCCTAGCAGCTAGATGAGTGCCATCAAATCAATGCTCAACAAATGTACATTGCTAGATACATGTGTAAACCCTTCAGTTGCTATCTTGTCTACATTCATCACAATCATATCTTTTATCTCCACTATCTTATTTCTTGATCTTTTCATTAAAAACTTGAAGTTAAATGCATTCATAGATCTTGTTAGGCAAAATTACTAATCAATCGATGTCTTAAGATAAGTAATCTATGGAATGCTCGAGTGTTTCACAAACCTGGTGCTAAGTCAGGATAATAATAATTGAGCTCCAGACATGAGTGCTTTACAAGAACCGACTACTATTAGTTTTCCCGCCCAATTTTGTCAACCTTGCATCCGATTCAACGATGCGATCATTCAATTTCATGATCACCGAGATCAACAGTTAAAAAGCTAATCATTTCATTCCCAATTTAATTGTATAAGCATGCGATTTCATGATTTTCTCACATAAACGTGTAAAAAGCGTGTTCAAATTAAAAATGCATGTAAATGCATTCAACTTCGCACATGCACTGCCCTGATGAACGTTAAGGTATTCAAATTCACGAATACGCAAGCATTTATAGCATTGGGCAGTCTTTTTTTTTTTCACTGTTTGTTCTTTGCAATCTAAATCTGTTTGAATAAATTATGCAAACTTTATGTACCTTGAAATTTGACCTATAATTGAAATATCTCATGTGTATCTAACCCTAAACATGACATAAAGCACGATCTGTTAAAAAAAAGTATACATAATACACTTAACAAGTACAAAAATTGGGCGGGAAAACCTATATTAATGTCAGAGATGAATGGAATATTTAAGTCCAAAATTATTCTTGCCTACAACTTTTATTTCTTCCTAACCAGGCGTTTTTTCCTCAATTTTTGTCACAAGTTTCTAATGACAGTATCTTTCTCTTGTCACAGTAGGGCTTGTACATAATCTGGTTAAGAAGAAAATACATTACATGAGCCTTGGCATCATGAAGATACAGCTGATTAATGCGTCAGTCATCAAATCACAATCTATCTCTTTGCATGATAAATTCAAATTACAGGAAATATATGCAACCTTAAAGATAAAAACCAGTTATGGTCATGCGATCGTATTGTAAAACAAACGTGGAATCAATCAGAAAAGGTTGATCATCTAGCATATAACGTCCCTATTTTCACGAAGTGATGGTAGTGAGGAAAATCGTCACGCAAATTGAATGCGTGACACAAACATTATATCTATCAGGTCCAAATAGATATAATAATTTACCAAATATATCAATTAGTAGGTGGTTTCTCGGCAAAATTTGTATGATCACGTATTAGTCAAAACATATTCTTTTTTGAGATGGGACATTTCCAAAACTGGTCTTTACCTTTAAACTCATGAAACTGAACAAGATGAGTAAGACTGCCTCTCTGATATGCCTTTGTCTACATTCAGTTCATTTATTACTAAATGTTCAGGATACATTGTATTTCAGAAAGATAATAGCTATACATTTGGTAGACAAAACATATGATATCATGACCTTAATCCTCTGATCCCAAAACCTCAAAATCTTATCATTCTGTCCCTCTATGGTGATACATGTACATGAAATTGTACCCAGGTTAAGGTCAATTTTCTCAAATGGTACTTCAGATATCTTTAAAAAAAATCAAAGCCAGAAACACAGAATGTTATGGAATTGATCTTTATGATCTTTGACCCCAATATATAATAAGTTTGTTTTCCTACGGTGAAGTTCACATCTCAATTATTTCTTAAAGCAATGTGATAACGAGAAAGCAGGATCAAACATAATGTCTCCGGCACGACCTTCAGTGGGCGGCGGTATAATGATACAATTGTTCTCTAATAACAGTGGAATCTAAATAACAAACTCCTTGGGTCCAAGTCAAATTTTTATAAAGCATTCTTGAATTCTTGATCTATTGGAGGGTGGAGAGGAAACAACAGTAAACAAAGAAGTAGGAAAATTGCTTACTTGTTATAGTTACAGAGTTCTTTATAATGACGATCCACTGTATTGGATTACAGGGCCCTGTCTTACAAAGAGTTGATATCAATCGCAACTTATTTGCGATTGATATCATATCAATCGCAACTATGTACATAAGTGATAGGAGACTGCAAACTTGCGATTGATTTGGATCAATCGAAACTCTTTGTAAGACGGGGCCCAGGTGTACTTGATTTCTAAAAATATTTTTCAGAATGTCCAATAACGATTTTTGTATGTGGACCCTAATTGACTTTTAGGCATGCAGGGGAAAATAACTTACGTTAGATTTCAAAAAGCTAAAGCCCTATGAACTAAAGTCTATCTCCTGTCTGTGCAGGCAGCTCATGATTTCCATAGCTTGAGGAGACCATCTTCGCTGTATGTGGCTAGAAGATTGTTGTGAGGGTGGGGTACAATGCCTATCACATCCTTCTCATGGACCTGGAGGGGGGGGGGGGGGTAGGAATAAAAACAACATAAATACAACAGTTTTAAACAAGAGATATGTCAAACAGACAATGAGTAGGTGATACCAAGCAAAAGTGTAATCACTAATGCAATATTCTTGTGAATTCTCTCAGTTGTCATGTTGTACAAATTCAAACCTAACAAACTATCAACTTTAATACACATTGCATGTGTATTACACAGTTACAAGAATATTACAAGTTTACACCATTTGCAGACCTCCCAACATTACAACATTCGAATTTCAAAATTCCTATTATTTTGTGCAACTCAGCATAATTTGTGGCAACTTCCTCTCTTCCCCTTCCTCTCTCCCCCCCCCCCCCCCCCCCCCCCTTTTTCCCCCTCCTCTCTCTCTCTCTCTCTCTCTCTAGTAAAAGATATATCTTACGGTGAGTGTCCTTTCTAGTTTTCCAGTAATAAAAAATAAAGCAGAAAGGTTGGGAGGTCTCTTTTGCTTGTTAACATTGTTCTCATTAAAATCATTTTGTCCTGGACTCCCCAATGATTTGTGCCTACTATTCTTTTCACTGAGCAGAAGAGACACCTCCCCTCCTCTCTCTCTCTCTCTCTCTCTCTCTTTCCCCTCCTCTTCTCTCTCTCTCTCTCTCTCTCTCCCCTTCCCCCTTCTCTCTCTCTCTCTCTAGTAAAAGATATATCTTACAGTGAGTGTCCTTTCTAGTTTTCCAGTTGATGTAGAGAAGCAGTAGAGCACCAAATCCTCTCCTACGCAGTAGATCCATTCCCCTCTCGGTGATAAGCAACTACATGTGAAATCTCCTCCCTCCCGCTTACCAGAGCTGAAACTCCGAACAATCTAGTACACAAAAGATGGATCACAAATATTAAATTTGGAGACTATTTTTCTTTAAAATTTGTCTTGGATAAAATGAGAATTGTCATTTTCTATCCAATGCGACCTAAAGAAAATTGGGTATAACAACTCAAACAGCATATATAGGAGCTGGAAACTTGAGTTTTTGAGAAAATATATCACCACTAGATGGCTAGATTTTGTCCGTAGATTAATTGATTAGAATTTTCATACAGAATAATTTCTCTTGTCACAGAATGTCAGGTACAAGTATTACAGTTGTCACCCATAATAGGCACAACAAGTAATTTTTATATTGGGTAAGTGGAAATGTTTGTGGCTTACTCGTCATAAATTTCATATATGCAAAAATGTTGCGAACTGAACGTACTACAAATTTTTACATATGTTTCACATATGGTTCAAATTCATGAATCTTCATGCCTCAATATATTTGGATCACAATTGACAAAACTATTGTTGCCATGGTAATGGCCATCTCACAAAAGTTTCTAGTTTTACATACAAATACTGCTCCTCTGTAACAAATTGCATATATGCAAATTTTGGCAAAAACCTATATACTAGCTTACGAACAACCAGATATTCGTACCTGTCCTTGCATGTTCATGATAACGACAGTGTTGCTACGGTTACAGACAACAAACTGTTCTGCATTCTTGGGATACGGCATAACAGAGTTGACTGTGATGTCAGTAGCTGATGAGCCTCCCAGTGATTTGAAGGTACTGATGCATTCTGTAGTCTTGATGTTCCAGACCTGGTAGAATTCAATACAATATGATTGATTGAGATTGATTTATTTTACAGCAAAACTCTAAAGGGTGTTCAATGCAGAGATTAACGTGATTAGTGGAAAAGTCCATAGTGTGCGGTCATTTGGTATCCCTTACCCGACAGTTCTTAAAGGGGAATCCAACCTGAACTGATAACTACTCTCAAAGAAAGCCGACATATCAGATAAGCAGACTGATAAAAGTTTGAATTAAATCAGACAAAAAGTCATTTAAAAGTTGTACCTAATCACTATATGTACGGGCACTTCAAATTGGCTGAATCGGTAATGTCACTTTGACGAAGTGCTAGACTATTTTCCTAATTGTTTAAACACCCAAAATGGTAAAGGTGTCAATTTTTTCAATATGTATGATCCAGGAGGGTCTATTTTTTTTAAAGATATATTTTGAGTGGTGCATCAAGAGGGGAGGCACTTACGAGAAAAAGATAAATTAATCATATTTTTGTACACAGCAAGCGGCACTACATCCTGACTTATGGATCCTGCTGAGTATCGTCGTAGAAGTAGAAGTGGAAGAGTTGTCCCATGACTACGTCACAATCCACTAACTAGTAATATACATTATATACCTCACTAAAGAAATCCAGCCATCTGATTGGTCGAAATTGCAGTCATGGTTTTAGCCATTCCCGTAAATAAACAAAAAATGCCAAACCCATGTGATAGTTCGAGGGTTAATCGGTAAAATCTCGGCAAAATTCCAGTTACCGGGAAAATAGTTCAGTCTTGCTGAAAAACTGGTTTGAGCAAGCGTGGATACCATACATTAAGTGTGCGAATCAGTGGTCACTAGACAGCAAGAACACCAAAAGGGTACGTGAATTAGTCTTATTATTAGCCGTAGATCTAGGTCTAGATATAGATTGTAATTTTATTGTTTGCGATAACGGTGATACAGGTATTTAAGATTGTATAATGCAAGTGTTTGAATTGATTTAGTGGATGAAAAGTTGAATTCTACGCCGTTTTATGCGTCATTGCAGCGCTAAATTTGGTGTGTTTGTCGCTAATTTCTGACAAATTTAGATAGCTTTCCTGATGATATTTCATGCAAAATTTCTGTTATATTGATAAGCACTGATTCTTGTCCTTACATTTGACCTGTTTCTTGTCTGTTATAGTCATGTAATAGATGAATTACTTGAATTCTGAGCACATTTCAGTAACACAAAAAATCCAGCCCGTTCATAGTCCCACACACGTATTTGTATGTACATTGTGCCCTTATGTGCTTAGTCTGCTGTCTCAATAGCATAAACAAACTTGATTACCATGATTAGTAAGTCGCACATGTATTCTATGATCCTTTTTGGTTTATAAAAGTATTTATGACTGCTTTAATTTTCGAGATATAGTTGTTTCTCAAAGCAGTCATTAATACTATACTATTAAAATCTAACAAAATGTGTTAAAAGAACTGTTTTAAAATGATTTCTTTTTGTTGCAGTGATGGACTATACCTTGATGGTACCATCTGATGAAGCACTGAGAGCAAGATGACCATCAGGAGCAAAGACGGCTTCATTCACAAATGATGTGTGTCCTCGGAACTCTTTCAATGTCTTGCCAGATTTCAATCCATGTATCCTGTATCACACACACACACCAAGAGAAAACATGTAAGAAGTGTGAGTAACTGTGTGTGCAGACATTATACCCAAATCTAATATACAAACATTTAAACAAAAGGGCGTTTCTGTATTTGTTGTACGGGACATTAAGACGTTTTTCTAGACTATGAGGCAAAGAAATCAGCAGTGAAGATTGGTTTAATGGTATTATAGTAAAGTACTACCAAGGGGCCCTATGAAGATATGACAAATAACTATAAATAAGCCTTTCTCAGGAAGATAGAGCTGAAATTATCTTATGTCATACGAGACACACACACAAAAATGATTTTCTTGAAATTCAAGTTGATGCACAAAAAAAATATTAATGAAAAAGTACATCATAGACAGTTTAGCTGTCAAAGAAGAATTTAATTCACCTTTCACACTAAAAAGTTCTTTAATAAAAAACATGCACAAGATTAACATCTTCAGGACGATATGTCGTACAGAAATGATATTTGAAATTGATCTTTTTAAGATAGTATACTGGCACTGAAATACAAACCTACATAGAAGGATAGCATTGGTGATTGGTCCCAATTGGAAAGAGACTAACCTTAGAGATTGATCAAATGAAGAGCTGAGTATCTGAGTGGCATCTTTGGAGAACTTGACAGAAGTGACTCCCTTGCTGTGAGCATTCTCAAATCTTCTCAAACACTGCCCTGTCTGAACTTTCCAAACCTAATACAAATTTTTACAAATTCAAAAAAATGCTCGCTCTCAAACACTGTACTGTCTTAACTTTTCAAACGTAACATAACAAGGAAGAATATTTTTAAATGAAATAAAGATAAATGGCCATGAGTGTAATTCAGATCTCTATTGGATCAGTGATTTTAAAAGAATACAAAATAACGGCAGAAGTTCAATCATTCAAATTGCATTGGAAAAATGGTAATGTCTGTGAATAAATATCTACATTATTGCATCCAAAATTTAAGATTACACTATGACTAAGTTTAGTTTTCATCATGAACGGCTCAATTGACCGAAATCCCACAGAGACTTCATTCCAAATTGTGAAAAAAGGACCCCAAACCAAAAATAAACCCAGCACATCCAAATATGACATTGGCAATGACAAGCCTGTCATCAACCTACCTTGATCTTACCATCCTGACCCCCTGTAGCAACCATTTCGCTGTCCCGACTGAAGCACATACATAGCACAGCATCATCCATCAGCATGAACGAATCCTGGGAGCAGCAAAGGATATAGACTTTCTCATGAGCACCAAAGAAACAATTCTTTGATATTTAAATACATCAAAACACACAAACTCATTGTAATATAATGCATCAAAAGAAACTGACCTTGTAATGTTAAGAAATCTCCATATTAGAGTAAACTAAGAAAGAAATATCATTAAAAAAATTTATTCTCCAGAATTCAATGTTTTCATGTAAAACACAGCATAGTTCAAGTGGTGCAGCCAGCAATAGGAAAGCAACAATGAGTCAACTGTCACAATCTCCCATAAATCACACAGATATAACATAAGTTATGAGACTGACATATGTGCTTAAACTGGCTAAACATTCAATTTGAAACAATGAGCAATTTAAATTCTTATATCAATTTTTTTGTCAGCATAAACATTCTTCTAGAACCCATTTTCCTTTTCTTTTTTCACAAATACTTACTCTTCAGAGTTAACATAAAGAAGTTGAGAATGCAGATGCAAGCAAAGAAATTTAAATTCACTGAAAATTGCAAACCAAGCTTAACTTGATCCAGAGGCTGTGAAAAATGTGTGTATTACTAAAAAGCACAATTTTATCCACTAGGGCCAGACCTCTCCTCTGGAGTTCAAAAACTGTATTCTTTAATCCCAAAAGTGCTATTTTACTGACAAAAATTGTATTACAAAAAAACAAAACATGGATCAATGCCTTTTACAGTTTCTACATGGAGGAAGAATTTTTTTAATGGATCATTGGTTGAATATGCATGATTTCGTCATGACTGGTGTGTTTGATGAACCAATGAACATCCCCAAATTGCTGATGTGAGATGCTTGTAGAATACTTTACAGGACAGAATGGGCATTTCGCCATTGAAAATGGCACACACACACATCTTTTCTTTTCTTTTTTTTTTTTGGGGGGGGGGGGGGGGAGAATCATATTTTATTGAGGAAAATCATACTGTCGTATTTACTTCTAAAAATCGTACTGGTTGGCAGGTCTGTAGGGCAAGTCCATGCAATGTATTAGTGTATGAAAAATGTCTTTTTTTTCATGTTTTTCATCAAAACATGAAGAATCTCTTTGACATTATTATGGAATAATGGTGCTTTAGTATCACTACCATTAGTTATAGGGGAATAACACCATGACCTTACCTCTGCCTGGTACTTGAGATCCTTCCTGATCTTTCCTGTCTGAAAGTTCCAGACCTCAACGAATCCGTCCACACTACCGGTCACTAGGAACTGACCATCCGGAGAGAAAGCTGCACATTCCACATGGGACTTCTGACCAAACTGTAAGGATGAAACATACATTAGGATGTACATATCAAAGTACAGTGAAGCCACTAGGGCTGGAAATTTTGGGTATCTTTTTAATATGGGTACCCGCTCAAATTTTGGGCAGGAGCCAAGGTACCCGAAAGTGATACATAAAAAATAAAATTGCTAGATCTACATCTGTTATTAGATTTAAATTTTCCTATAAACATGTGTAAAGGGATAGTTGAGTTCTTGTTTCAGACTGCAAATGCTTTCAAAGTGCATGGTTATTGCTCTTATTCTTTTTTATGACATTTCTAGTGCTCTTTTAGGACCTAAAAGTGCTACAAAGGTCATTTTAGACCCCAAAATGTGTGAAATTTATCCAATACGATCATACCAATTCAGCTGCACTTTAAAAAAAAAATATGGTGACCGTTAATTTATTAATTAATAAATAATAACAATACACGAACCAGCTGGTTGAGCGTATCCTAACCAACACGAAAAAGCCAACAACTGCATTGGCTGGGATAAAACATATAAGGCGCTATCTCGTTTTTCAAATTATTGAATATTTGTGGGGCACCACAAATATTAGAAATCGTTATATTTATAGATATTTCAGCCGTCTCTGAATCAATGTCGATCAAACAAAGATGATTTTGTCATTTAAATGGTATGTTCTTTCTAATGTAACACTCAGTTTTCATTATCTCATAAAAAACTAGATGGAATTTTGACTGCGCGCAGTCGAAAATGATGCCTCCGCCATAGAGCAATTTAAATAATAGTGAGGTCTCTTGCTTTGCGCAATTTCTCAAGACGCGTGCCAAATTTCGAGGCAATCGGCCCCTCCCCCCCCCCCCCCCCCAGTCAGGGAGGTGCTCAAAATAGCCCAGTTAAGTACGGGTTAAGTAACGGAACATATTTCAAGTGGTTCTTGACATATCATGACAAGTCCTATACATGTAGTCTGAAATTTTCAAGTTGACCTCTATGACCATTGACATACATGTACTCCAAAATCTAATCTGATCGTTTTCCTATGGTGATATATATACTATCCTTAAGTTTGAAGTTTAAATCTCCAGTGGTTCTTGAGATATTATGATAACAATCTCAATGTATGGAATTTCATAAGTTGACCTCTGTGACCCTTGACCTTTGACCTACGTGCTCCAAAATCTAATCAGATCGTCTTCCTATGGTGATACATACTATCCTTAAGTTTGAAGTTTAAATCTCAAATGGTTCTTGAGATATCATGATAACAATCTCAATGTATGGAATTTCATAAGTTGACCTCTGTGACCCTTGACCTTTGACCTACGTGCTCCAAAATCTAATCAGATTGTTTTCCTATAGTGATACACACTATCACTAAGTTTGAAGTTTAAATCTCCAGTGGTTCTTGAGATATCATGATAACAATCTCAATGTATGGAATTTCATAAGTTGACCTCTGTGACCCTTGACCTTTGACATACGTGCTCCAAAATCTAATCAAATTGTTTTCCTATAGTGATACACACTATCACTAAGTTTGAAGTTTAAATCTCCAGTGGTTCTTGAGATATCATGATAACAATCTCAATGTATGGAATTTCATAAGTTGACCTCTGTGACCCTTGACCTTTGACATACGTGCTCCAAAATCTAATCAGATCGTCTTCCTATGGTGATACATACTATCCTTAAGTTTGAAGTTTAAATCTCAAATGGTTCTTGAGATATCGCGCTAACAAACTCAATACAAGGAATTTCATAAGTTGACCTCTGTGACCTGTGACCTTTGACCTACGTACTCCAAAATCTAATCAGATCGTCTTCCTATGGTGATAAATACTATTCCCGAGTCTTAAGTTTAAATCTTAAATGGTTCTTGAGATATTGTGATAACGGTCAAACGGGACGGACGTACGGACGGACGGACGGACGGACGGACGGACGTACGGACGGACGGACGTACGGACGGACGGACGGACGTACGGACGGACAACCCGAAAACATGATGCCTCCGGCACCACCTTCGGTGGCGGAGGCATAAAAATGTTGGTGTAGGTCCAGAGCTGCCAACCCAAACTGAACAAAAATCTTATTATTTTCCCACAAAAATCCTATTTTGAAAATAAAAATCCTATTTTTTTCTCACTGCGAAAATGCATTTTTTTAATTTTTAATTTTTTTTTTTTTTTTTTTTTTTTTTTTTTTGGGGGGGGGGGGGTTTCCATTTTGCATTAGTTCCTACATACAGGAAGAAATTTTTCAATGGACCAATGGTTGAATATGCATGATTTCATCATACTGATGTGTTCGATGAGCCAATGAACATCCCCAAATTGCTGATGTGAGATGATTGTAGGATACTTTACAGGAGAGAATGGGCTATTTGCCATTGAAAATGGCACACGAACACACACACAAAAATAATATATATTTATTTTTAAAACAAATTAAAAAAATAAATAAAATAAAATCATATTTTTTGAGGAAAAATCGTACTGTCATATTTACCGGTACTTCTAAAAATCGTACAAAATACAATAAAATCGTACTGGTTGGCAGCTCTGTAGGTCCCTCTGCAACAAAACTCAACTATCCCTTTAAATTTGACTATTTATAGCAGCGAAGATGGAGATGATTATACAGTAGGGCTTGGAGTAAAAACCGGATACCCCAATCCTGCCCAAGAGTCACTGTGACATTCAACTCCAAAAGTGTAGTAAGTTGATAATGTGATGCCTACCTTGATGGTCTTGCTGAGTTGTGTTGGATACTTCTCCTCTTCCTCATCCCTGACGGCTGCCTTACCCTTGAACAAATCTATGGTCACGCCTGGAGGTAACAGACCCTGGTGTTGCTGCCATTTAAGAGACTGTCCAAGCAAGGCTAGCAGGCGTGATGGGGGTACCACGCTGACCTCCCCCGAGAGGGCCTGGGCGATGGCCGCTCGTCTCCTTTCCTTGCTGCTCCCGTCAGGGTACGCCTATATATGGGTACAAAATACCAGTCAAACATTGCCTTCTCACATATACTCTTCTTTATTTCTTGCATTTTGAAATCCTAGACTGCAACATTGAAGAATTTTGTGTTCCCTTTATATTGTGTGAGTGACACAATTTGACAGTGGCTGTCAGTGGCAGCCCACTGTTTGTTCCACTAATATCAACAAGAGTGAGTAAGGAGTTAAAAGTGTTCTTTTTTAAACATATATGAAAGAGCTAGAATAAACATCATCCTAAAAGGGACCTGGTAACATTGTTCAGATGAGAGAAAGTGGTGCTAAGGTAGTGAATTAAATGCTTGATGTACAATTAAAGATAATCTGAAAGTTCTTAGTGAAAACAGACCATCATTAATGATACAAATTGGGGAAAACTTATCTGATCAATTCCTTAATTCTCCCAACTATATTATTACAATTTAATTACATTTTAGTTTGGTATAGTTTGTCACAAAGCAATGTCTTGGCTCTATATACCATTCCAGGCATTTAAGTGTTGAAAGAGTTTTAAAAGCCTGTCTTATGTCTTATTTGCAAGGAAAAATGGTTGGGAAAATTCAAAAATGGTTGGGAGAATTTACTGTCAAAGGGTGTCGCACAGTGACACCTTCAAAGAAAACCATAAACATATTTGTGGTTTGAGAATTTTTTCAGGATTGTTTGCATGTAGGAGGTATAGTACAGTAGAAGGAATATAATAAGTAACATTTCATACAAAAATTACGCAATTTTTTCATCAACCTTCAACAATGTTACTGAGTCACTTTAAAGGTACTATGTCCCTTTTGCAGCCAACCTCAAATGCTGTAGAACTTTGCAGGAATTATGAATATGTCATGTATGTCCTATATGTGAAATTTAAACGTTAGCAGTGTCCTCATATTCAAATTATGCAAGGAAACCCGTTTACTTGCTAGACTTCACTGTCAGACACTATTGAGTGACTGACTGGCTTTTTTTTCTTCTTTGGTAATAACATACATGAAAAGAGTTGTAAAGGGTACATATAGCATTTGTCTACATCAATAACCCACTTCTTGTGATGGCCAAGATTAAACTGATTGAATCTTTGCGCAGCATAAAACGTATGACCATTCGGTAAAATTGTCTGAAAATCAAGACTATTACTTTTGGGCTCTATAGCCCTAAAGTCGATTTGACAACTAATAGTCGTTATTTTCCCACTTGAAGATATTTTCAAGCCCCACCTTTTTTAGGGAAGTTCTAAATTAGTATTATCTTTCAAATGCAGTTGGAATTTAACTTTTTCATTTTTTTGGCCTGCAAATGGGACATAGTACCTTTAAGAACAATCTTTACCAAACAAGGTGTACATGTACTTTGACACTTTCTTGTTATTCTAAATGTACATCATCCCAATGGTATTATTGGGTATGATGCAGCAACCAGGGCATGGAGGGGGTTCTACTTACTTCACGAGGATCAAAGTAGGATCTAGCAAGGAGGTTTTCTAGGTGGACGTATCTGTCAGCCTGGTTCTGTTTGAGCATAATCATTGGATCAGTCTGTCTGAGAAGTGATCTAGCAGCGCCAAGCTCACGCAGCTCAATCAATTCAAGCACAATCTATATCAAATACAACAAAAATAAAAGGGAATCCTGATGTAATGATATGTACCCGATAATACAACGACTACATGTACTTTGTGTTGAAACATGAAAATTAAAAACTAAATCAACTTAAGCAAGATTGGTGAAAATTCATCGTACTTTGTTGGAGCAGTAAATGGGGAAGCATAATTACCAAAAAAGAAAATCTGTCAAGTCATTTGTTTATAACAGGCATATTTTGTCCCTAGCCTTCATTTAGCAATTTTATTTTTAATAATGACTTCATTGCAAATATCTACTATATGAGAAAACATTAATTTAAAAAAATGTTTGTAAGACTTGCTTTGAGTAGCCGGTCTTCACTAAATCTTTACCTGAATTTCCAATGCTGGACTATTTGTGTTCACTATTTGAATACATTTCATTTTTGATCACATCAATATCTACAAGTAGGTCAATATTACTTTTGGCAATGCATAGGATAGTACCAGACTACATCAGAAACTGTAAAATACGCAAAATTCCTAAGATAATAACACACTTCAAAACCGAATTTTCAATTAGATCATCTAGGAAAGCTTTGAGAGCTAGGTTCACCCTACTTGTTCATAGAGGTCAATGAGGGTCTTGTCCGGGAGCTTGAGTGATTGTATCTGCTGCAGGACAGTGTCCCAATGACCGCTGTTGATGTCCGTGATGAACTGGTCAATGCTGTCCACCGTGTTGAGGGATACAGAAGATTCCTCCTGAAGGGTGGCCAAGGTCCGAGGCAGACCTGCTTCCTTCAGATACTGCTGGATCAGTCTCACCACACTAAAAAGACAATTATCAAAATTCAATTAGATGCACAAGTGGGGTATGGTATTTCTACATCTCTACTCCGTCCCTGCCCAAATGTGCAACAATTTCACTTAATAATTGTTTAATCACCTAATAAATATGAAATTCTGTCTTTTTATTTCAGGTACATGTTATCAAATTATCATTGTTAACACACAAAAACCCTTATTTACATCATTCAAAGCCGAAACCTTTCATTTTATAGTCAGTCTCACAATTACAAATTAAAAACACTGTGCAAACCAATTCTAGACTAGCCACTGACGAGCGACTGTAATTTGATCCGATTTCACGTCAAATTCAAATTTCAAAATTTTTGCTTTTTGGATTTGTCCTGGCGCAATGCCACACCCACTCCCACAGGTTTGTCTAATTATGAGCTAGTCATGAGTGACTATCAGAATTAACCGTTTCAAGGCCCCTACGGACGGACAGATTAGTGTCTTTTGATGAGAACAGGTAGATATTATGTATCTAGATTTTCAAAAGGCTTTTATCAACGACTTCTGTACAAATTGAAACAACTCTGAATACATGGACAAGTATTGGATTGGATAGAGAGTTTTCTTGAAGGACGCAGGCAGAGAGTTGTTTTCAGAAATGGTGTGTCATCTTGGAAAGACGTTACAAGTGGAGTACCACAAGTGGAGTACCACAAGGGTCCATTCTCGGGCCCTGCTTTTTCTGTTTTATTGGAATGACATTCCGGAAATGGTGACCTCTACAGCTAAGATGTTTGTTGACGAAAACAAAGTGTAAAGATGGATCAGGACCAAACATGATTGTGATATTCTCCAAGATGATCTGAATGCACTTGCGGCATGGTCCAAGCTCTGGATGTTAAGATTTTAATATTGAAAAATGTGTGGTACTGAGAATAAGAGGTGCTTTGCAGTACTGTTATTTCATGAACGGAAAGATCCTTCAAGAGGTGTCTCATCACAAAGATCTGAGAGTTATTATGACGAATTGTTTGTCCCCATCAACTCATGTTCAAGCTATTGTGAATTCCGCTCATCGCAAAATGGCTATTTTTCATTGTTATTTTACAAATCTAAATTAAGAAAAGATTGCGACCTTTTATCAATCAATTGTGAGACCAGCATTGGAAATTTCATCAACAGCTTGGAGCCCTTACACTAAGAAAGATATAGAGGCATTAGAGAAGGTCCAAACGAGGTGTCTGTCTATGCAGTAACGAGACCAAGACTAAGATAGAGTCTCTACAGGAGAGGAGACAGAAGATGGATTTGATCGAAACTTACAAATATCTTAAAGATATATACAGTGCGTCCCAGAAAAAACAAAACTGAGAATTATCGATGTTTTATCATAACTTAATCACATTTATAATTAATAAATGACACATATTTGAAAAGCTTAGATCCTCCTCTTTCATTTGATGCAACTCATATGACTCATATTTCACGCATGAGTGATTAACATCAATTTGAAGAGAGGAAATCAAAAAGTCATTTGGCGGGTGGTATCTGAATTTCAAAGAGAAAATCATATTTCTAGAAAGTTGGGTTTCTGCCCTTTCATGACACCTCAATAAGGAAAAATGAGCAAGGAATGACAAAGTTCTGTTTGTTTAAAGTAGCCCTTACATTTTCATAATTTTAGCAAACAAATTCGTTTTCACTGGCTGCCTACCTAGCAAAAAGCAGAATTGACAAAAGACTTAACTCCGTTTCGTTGACAATTAGCCATGCATGAAGTCTTTCGTCTACGGCTGATTGTCAACTAAACGGAGTTAAGTCTTTTGTTAATTTCGTTTTTTGATACGGCAGGCAGCCAGTGAAAACGAATTCGTTTAATCAAATTATGGAAATGCAAGCACTACTTTAAACAAACAGAACTTTGTTATTCCTAGCTCATTTTTCCTGATTGAGGTGTCATATGAAAGGGCAGAAACTCATATTTCTAGAAATGTGATTTTCTCTTTGAAATTCAGATATCGTCCGCCAAATGACTTTTTGTTTTCCTCTCTTCAAATTGATTTTAATCACTCATGCGTGGTATATGCATTATATGAGTTGCATCAAATGAAAGAGGAGGATCTAAGCTTTACAAATATGTGTCATTTATCAATTATAATTGTGATTAAGTTATGATAAAACATCGATAATTCTCGGTTTCGTTTTTTCTGGGACGCACTGTATAGGAATAATTCAGAAAAGTTCTTCTCTGCTCCAAACAAAGATTTAAGAGGTCATAATAAAAAGCTTTACCAAAGACGTACTCGCACAAAATAAGCTGGCCACTTTTTCTCAAATCGAGTGGTCCAACCCTTGAACAGCTTACCTCATAACATAGTGTCTGCACCCACTGTGGCTACTTTTAAAAGAAAACTGAGAGCCCTTCCCATAGGACAAAACACTATGAACATGACTGAAAAAGAAAGCGGACAAAATATACAGTTCCTCAGGTAGACAAAGGAACATCCCTTCACTGCTATTATGTAAAAATGTGTAGAGCAGGTGTCACATGCATATTCACCTTTTTACATAATAGCAGTGAAGGGATGTTTCTTTGTCTACCTGGGGGCCGTTTCTCGAAACCAACTCCATGACAGTCATATCTTTGTCGCCGACCTATGGAGATGTCATGAAGTGGGTAAACTGTCTCACAAAGCCATGACAGACATGATATCGATATATCGCGATACTAGCAGCTCAAGAAGATAGTCTTTGTCACGATCCATTTGATTTATGAAGAATAACCCAAAACAAGTTTTGGGGCTAAAATTGTTCAAAAAGAAATATATACATATAAATTCTCCTAAAATAAATAATAAATAGTGTCATTATCATATTTACATCATCAAACGATTTGCATATTTCTGTAAAGATTCTTAAATTGAAGAAAAACCGGTGAGTGTTTTTTTTTGACAGTCAAATCAAAAGTTAGTTGAAGGATACTGTAATGTGATAGTTTATCAATACATACTTTTTTGTTTATTGTGACGAGGAATTTTAGGCAAAATGCCTTTTCTCAGCCAGTTTTTATTCTAGAGCCTCATAAATACTTGTTATATAATTGATTTGATATTGAAAATATAATTTGGAAGAAGTAATTAGAGAGGGAATAATAATGCACATAGGCCCCAAAGGTATGACGGTATCCTAAGAAAAGACTATGGATCGACTATGAAAAACGGTGTGTAACATTCTTATCTCTCTTATTCATATGTTATAGTTTAATGATTTGTGATTTAATGTTTATATTCAACTTTTTAAATTTTCAGTATAATTTGTATTCTCAATTTTGTACATTTGCATTTCGCATCCCAGAGAATTACGTACCGAACTCGTCTAAATTTTTCTCAAAATGATAGTGAAACTAATCGTCCATTTCGCGGCCCATGGAATGGCAACAAACTGACTTGTGATGGCGCTTTACAGCAATTAAAAAGATATGACAGGTTCGGAGCAGTGACAACTCGCTTGTCGCGGAAGTTGTCGCTCATCTTGGCAAAGACGGCTTCGTGAAACACTTAGCTGACAAGTTGCGCGACAGTGGCGAGATGTCGTTGATCTTGTAGTTATGACGGTTTCGAGAAACGGCCCCTAGATGAACTGTATATTTTGTTTGCTTTCTTTGTCCGTCATGTTCATAGTGAAAGGGCTATCAACCAAGTAAGTATTAGAGTTGAAGAAATCTCCAACTTTGGAGCAAAATATCTACTTTTTTTATGACATTTCTGGAATTGGGAGATGGGCCAGTTGGCTTGTATTAAAGATAAAGACCCCTTTAATATGGTCATGCGATTGCATTGTGAAAGAAACAGTGTGGAATCGATCAGAAAAGGTTGATAATCTAGCATATAAGTATTGGTGTGTACTGCAAGGTTCTGGAATCATCAAAATGATAAGAAGTTTTGCCCAGCCTTGGTAAAGTTACAAGCACTGTACACAGAAAGACGGTATATGGGACTACGCGACACATGCGCGATATATATCAGGTCCAAATAGATATAATAATTAACCAAATATATCAATTAGTAAGCGGTTTCTCGGCAAAATTTGTATCATCACATATTAGTCAAAACATATTCTTTCACATTATTAGTAATAAGAGCTTCCATTTCATTTCTTGAGAGGGGGGTGTTTCCAAAACTGATCTTTACCTTGAAACCTACTTTTAACATTCAGATATGCCTAATAAAGATTTTAGATTTTGTCATTGGCCTCCCTACTTCAAACTTTTCAAGTTCAACTTCAAGAAAACCGGCAAGGCGACAGATTAGCTGAAACTGAATCCGAAACAGAAAGCAAGTCGTTATCTGCTTATTACTTATAGATCTAAATATAATTTTATATTTAGATACCGTAATTAACGGTGTATACACTGCCCTCGTGTATTAACTGCACCCCTCTTTTTCGCCCTAAAAAAAAATAAAAATTGCCGTCTCTGTCGGCAGCAAGCCAGGCCCGTGTTAAAAAAAAGCTGAATGTGTAAGATCATTAATGTAAATTAAAAAACAGTAGAGGACCTAGGATAGAACCTTGTGGTACGCCGTGTAATAGAAGAAAAATTGGAGGAATTATTATTATAAACATATTGAGATGATCTATCAGAAAGATTACTTTCAAACCAAGATGAGGGACAAATTTAAGTGTTGTTCTAGTTTCGGAGTGGTGAGTCAACACACCGATTACTGAACTGGGAGACATTGCCAGTCATAGCGCCAGGTGGAGGGGCATAAATCGAAACCTGTGTGAAGTTATCTACTGTAATGAGGATCGGACACATTACGGTAGATAACTTCACACAGGCGTATGCATGCCCGCAACCCACCATCGGTATGTACACTACTTGTATTGTGGAAGCTAGTTCGTAATTAGGATTTGCGCATGGGCAGATCAAGATCATTCGTACCCAAATTGTAAAACCATTGAGACGAACACTCGGATCCTGCTCATGAAAGTTATGTAATCACTATTCATTTATGAACCAACAGTAAATTTATCTGATAGGGTCATTCCATGTCAAATCACCCAATGGTTTTAACCCGACCATTTTTGATTTTGATGAAACTTAGTGTACTTGTTGAGTGTGATCTCACAGCACCAAATCCCAAATTTTAGGTCAATCGGGTGAGGGGTTTGGGAGATACGGCCCACCAAATTTTGAGATTTTTTCAAAAATGGGGGTGGCGGGCCTACCTTTGAACCCTTGTATCTCGGGACCTAATGGGTCAATCTTCACAAAATTTGTATTGTTGGAAAGGGTATTCCATAAGGATTCCAAGTCTGCTGCCATTTTGAAAATTCGTACATGTTGGGGTACTTTGACCTCTTGACCTAAGATTTGACCTTGAAATTGACCTTGTGGATCACGTGACCTTGACAACATTTTTCAAGAAATGTAATCTCTGAAATGTTCACTTAAACATATAAAAGTTTCAGAGATATAATATTATTGGTTTAGGAGCAATAAGGATTGAAAGTATTCATACTTACAGATATTCACAATAAACCCTATTATAATGTATGCAATACATGCAATATGCACAGTACAACGTACATCTTCCACATGCTTTTTTGTTCTAGGCATATCCATTCTAAATGTCAGCGGTACTTGAATAGAAATAGAATGACAAGTTCATATAGGCCTAAAGGGTTAACAGGATGTATGGCTTTAGGCCTCTGAGTCAGTTCTAGGATAATTACCCCCCTGGAAATGTTCCCCCCAGGACAATTACCCCCCGAGGACTATCACACCCAGAGAACAATTACCCCCCAGAAAATTACCTCTTAGGACAATCTGTCACCCCCCCCCCTCCGAGGACAATTACCCCCTAGGACAACTACCCCCCCCCCTCTATTAGTTGAAGGGGAAGTTTATCCTGATAATAAGTTGGTTTTAATCAAAGCAGATTTTTTTTTTGGGAGGTAATTATCCTTGAGTAATTTTCCAGGGGGGGGGGGATGGGTTAATTCCCAGGGGGGTAATTGTCCTGGGGGGGGGGGGGGACAAATTGTCCTAGGAAGTTATTTTCTGGGGGGTAATTGTCCTCTGGGTGTGATAGTCCTCGGGGGTAATTGTCCTGGGGGGGGGGGGGACATTTCCTGGGGGTTAATTTTCCAGGGGGGTAATTATCCTAGAACAGACTCAGAGGCCTAAAGCCATACATCCTGTTAACCCTTTAGGCCTATATGAACTTGTCATTTTATTTCTATTTAAGTACTGCTGACATTTAGAATGGATATGACTAGAACAAAAAAGCATGTGGAAGATGTATGTTGTACTGTGCATATTGCATGTATTGTATACATTATAATAGGGTTTATTGTGAATATCTGTAAGTATGGATACTTTCAATCCTTATTGCTCCTAAACAAAAAATATTATATCTCTGAAACTTTTATATGTTTTAGTGAACATGTCAGAGATTACATTTCATGAAAAATGTTGTCAAGGTCACGTGATCCACAAGGTCAATTTCAAGGTCAAATCTTAGGTCAAGAGGTCAAAGTACCCCAACATGTATGAATTTTCAAAATGGCGGCAGATTTGGAATCCTTATGGAATACCCTTTCCAACAATACAAATTTTGTGAAGATTGACCCATTAGGTCCTGAGATACAAGGGTTCAAAGGTAGGCCCGCCACCCCCATTTTTGAAAAAATCTCAAAATTTGGTGGGCCGTATCTCCCAAGCCCCTCACCCAATTGACCTAAAATTTGGGATTTGGTGCTGTGAGATCACACTCAACAAGTACACTAAGTTTCATCAAAATCAAAAATGGTCGGGTTAAGATTTTCAGATTTTTTGGGTGATTTGACATGGAATGACCCGATAGTGATACACAGGTGGAAGTATTCTTCTCAAGAGGCAAACAAAAGGTATTCATGAAGCACCTCCATCACTTCGGCAGTGATTATTCTAAAATGCACACGTGGGAAGTATCCATCATGTAAAAGATATGTGGATATTTTGGGGTCATGCGGTCCAGAGCTATTTACGAACTCGCTTATTGTGCAGCGGTTTGCTGTGAAACCTGTGAAAAAGTGTATGATAATATCAACGTTTATCCGAAAAATACTCAAAAAATGACAAGAAAATTGATACAAAACAGGTAATAAACATAACAACTTTTAAATTATGATCTTTATATAAACATTTGATGAATATTTTCTTCATTTTGGGTATGTTTTAGTGGGGTATCTCTAGATCTAGTCTAGCCGGAGTTATATGGGTCAAATTTTGGATAGAATCTAAGTTAGATCTAAAAGGGCTGATTCTAATCTAGTTCTGAACAAGCGCCAATAACTTTTTCTGAATCAAAATTCAGGTAAAGAAAACTAGTTCTGGATCTATCCATATTCCATAACAACAGGATCACCTCACACTTCCATACACTGATGGTGATAAGTAGATCTCAGTAATATTGTGTATTGGGATTGACCGGATAAACCATACACTTTATTAACTATTCACTCAACGTAATAACTCGTACATGTAAGCCTACCCACAGCACAGCGCCCACAATCAGACAATCATGACAATCCAGGGATCGACGATCCACGCGCAGCTCATCGCGTATTTTCACTCATACAATTTCATCCAAAAACAGATTCACATATACACTCCAAACACAAGGGAAAACAAGTAACTTACTCAGCAGATTCGATTTCCAAAGACATATTCAGTGGTTTTTGTAGCCGAATGTGAAGAAAGCAGCACCAGCAAAAAAGCGATCCCGAGGTGGCGTAATATGAATATTCATGAATCTATCACATATTCATATTACCCAGTCGAGCTTAGTCTGTTTTTAAGCCTTGATCTGTTAGCAGTTACTAGTACCTGATTCTTTCCAAGTGAATTAGAAAGTGATTGAATAATAATAATAATAGGCATTTCAATAGCGCGCTTTTATCTAGAAATTCTATTCCGAGGCGTATTTATTATTACCCAGACTTTAGCCTAGCTCCCATTACAGTGCTCCAGCATTTTATTTCAATTTACATCAGCTGCATGGGTTGAGTGTGGCAAATGTAATTTTTGGGGGGCTCAACAGGGAGGGGGGGGGGGGGGCTAGTGAGCACTTTGATTCACCAGCCACCCCCCCCCCCTCCCCTGTTGAGCCAAAAAAAAATTGCATACGATCTCCCTCAAAGCAGTTCCCCAAAGTTGACAGCCATGGGTTACTCACTTATTAAGACATAGATCTACAGGGTGTGCCGCTCTAATGGGTCACTTTTTTTACAATAAATCCCTGAACATTTTAAACCAAAATATCCCAAAACATGGGTCTGTTTTTTCAAAATTTTAGAGAAAAAAAATATTATTGAAGCATTCAAAACTAAGAAATAGAGGAAGAAAACAAAATTATTAAAAAAAGAAGATTTCTGATCGACCGACATGTTTTAGTTACCTGTAGTTACCTGTAGTTACCTGACTTCACGGGCTCTAATTTAAGACGTATTCCTATAATGCCCGCCTTCCTTCATTTAAAATCCATTGCATGTGATATCGTGTCATAATTGCAGATAAAGGGCAATTTACATTCTACAACGTCTTTTTTTTTTTAGGCCTAAGATGGGACCTGCGGCCAGGGGCCCGTTTTTCGAAACCGTCATAAGTCTAACTTCTTGACTAACCCATTGAAATGTCTTTCATAGAATTAACACACGCTTCAAGAAGTTAGACTTATTATGGTTTCGAGAATCGGGCCCACAATCGATTTATTTTCTCCTTTAAATAGACTACGAGCGCTCAAATATCTATGAATATTCATGATTGGTATCCTGGTAGATTCTGAAATTACTAACACACGCCTTTAGCTTCGTTAAAACTTCAATTTTATTGGGCCTTTTCTGCTTTAAAATAACATATATTTTAATCATTAACTTGGTTGGCAGAGAGAAGAAGCAAATTACCTGACAACGAAATGGTAAGTGTGTGCTCATTTGAAAATACGAATCATTGTCTTTATGTTAAAATGGTTAATATTCAGTCCCATCTACTGCTATACATGTAATGTCAAATCAGTCATGATGTCACTGTGTTAACACTAAACTTTAACCAAGTAGCACACTGTGCACACGGAGTCGGGCTAACTCGGACCAGGGGACAATTCGGCCCAGCTGCAAAAACGGTCATTTTTTTGCATGTTTAGGTTAAGATAATTTTGAGTTCTGGTAAAAAAAGAAAATGAATTCTCACAGAATCTAACAAAACTTAGAATTAGAGTAAAGGAGGGGGTTTTCGGCCACATATTAAGACAAAATCCTATTTTTTGGATTCTTTACTTCCTATTTATTATCATTTCTTGTTCAAATCATGAAGCAAATATTATTATTATTTAAACAAAAAAAGAATTGCCGTGACAATATTCATTTCAGTTTTCACTGTTTTGGAGCCAGTTATCGACCTAGCGATTCAGTTTACGACCGCATGTAGAAAGTCGATAGGAAGCGCGCGCGCCGTGCTTTTCCGCGCTAATCTATTGCATAAGTGGGCGGAGCAGGTATCCCGGAGCTCCCGGGTGCTCGCCTGGTCGAAGACTAGCATTGCGGTGATCGGAAGTTGGAATCTGAATTAGACAGACATATCGTGTGTGCGTTGCGGGGTCCGGCTGCATTGATTAAATACATGTGATGAGATACTTTTGAGCTTGCGACAAACACAAAATCGGGCTCTAAATCTGAAAACTACTTGAAATAAAGCTCATTTTATGGTACCCATATTTCTTACATACAAAAATGTATGCGTAAGAAACTCAATTTTTCAGATTTGGGTAGCGGGACCGCTGATTACATCGCTAAAATGTGATATTTTAGGATATATTTTCCATTGCAAATGTGGTTCTTCAGTGACTCTGGCATGGTATGGTATGTGTGGGATATGTGATATGCTATTATGCGATGTATTTTAAAGGGATTTTGCCATGCATCCAACGGATCGGCCGAAAACTGGAGCTGGTCGTTTACCCCCTCCTTTACTCTACACTGAATGTTCAAGATTACAAATAAATGTCATGTGCCAAACAATTTTGGAAGAAAATGTATACTGGCTGAGTAATGAGCATAGAAAGATAAGGAAATTAGGGTAGTACTAGCCCCAACACCATGTGTGTTGTCCCATATACATCTTTCTGTGTAAGTGATTGTTACTTTACCAAGACTCTGCCAAATTTATGATGATTTTGATGATTCCAGAACCTTACATTACACACCATTACTTACATGCTATATGATCAACTTTTCTGATCCATTCCACACCTTTTCTTTCACAATGCAATCGCATTACCAGAACTCAAGTTTATCTTTAAGGGTTAGGTTTAGGGTTAGGGTTAGGGTTAGGGTTAGGGTAAAATGACAAAAAATGACCGTTTTTGCAGCTGTGCCAAGTTGTCCCCTGGTCCGAGTTAGCCCGGATCCGTGCACACATAGCTGCATTACTATCCTGGCTGTGTATTAAAAGCTGTGCTCAACATCACTGTACAAAACTCAACTAATTTTACTAAAAATCTTTACTTTAGTGACATTTGGTGACAGCTAAATAGCAGTAAAATACAATTTTTTAAAGGTAAAGACCAGTATTGGAAACGCCCCAATTTCAAAAAATGAAATGGAAGCTCTCATTACCAATCATGTGAAAGAATATGTTTTGACTAATACATGATGATAAAAAATTTGCCGGGAAACCGCCTACTAATTGATATATTTGGTAAATTTGTTTCTCTCATGGTCTGTGAGAGATATAGGGTAGTCCCATATACATCTTTCTGTGTATAGTGCTTGTAACTTTACGAAGAATGGGCCAAATTTCTTATCATTTTGATGATTCCAGAACCTTGCAGATGCTAGATGCTAGATGATCAAGCTTTTCTGATCAATTCCACAACGTTTCTATCACAATGCAATCGCATGACCATAACTGGTCTTTACCTTTAACTTACCGATGTTAAAAAGAATAATTTAAAAATTAAAATTACAAACCAGGTTTGTAAAAAACGCGTAAAAACGCGTAATTTGACGTACGAAAACCAAGGTTTGTCGACAAACCTCCTTTGTGAATTCAGGCCATATTGTTTTGGTGAAGCTGCTTCTAGTCTTGACAATAGTCCGAGCCACTAGCAGTGATCTCTACTTCATACTTATGTTTCTGGGAGGGGAGAGGGGATCTTTGTCCCTCCTTCGAACATAAGGATGACAAAAACAAACGCTGCCACTGCCGGGGGATACATTCGCATTGCGGGGCAATACAGATTGCAATATTTCTAGTTTCAATTAGACATACCGCATACAGAACAATGATAATTTCCTTGAATTAAAAATGAACAAAATTTGTTTTAGTAGTTTTGACTACCGGTAAGTCATGTAATTGAAATACCAAATCTACCTAAATGTATTATTATATACCTCTCTTTAGTATGTTGAATAAATCTAGTCATCTGATTGGTCAAAATTGGAATGACCACAAAGAAAAGAACAATGCCCGTTGCCTTGTGTAACGGGCAATAGTATAGTATTAATGACTGCTTTGAGTACTTTTATATGCCGAAAAAAAATAGACTAAAAAATAAAAAATAAAAAAACTTTTGTCGAAGATTGGATTCGATCTCTTGCGTACAAAAGGTGATGTAACTAAAATCAGCGCCTTAAACCGCTCGGCTATCGCGCTCTGATACCGTACTTAACAGTTTTCTCTAATATATACATTAAAATGGATTGAAAACGGCTTCGCGTGATTGATGATTCGCGGCTGCTCCATTAATTGGGCCCTTCTTTTACTTTTGCAATGCATATTGGCACGAACTTAGATCAAGATCTATCGGCAGATGTTGTTTTTTTGTTTTTGGAAGTTTATTTTCGTCTTCATGTCAACAATGCAACTGAGATAAAATTGTCGGTAAGATCGATCGAGATTCAATTGTATTGAAATTACCGACCAATTCTTCGCACACGTACGGTATCCTTGATCGCTCGAACCATTTTTTAACATGTAAACCTATGGGGTAACCATGGAGACTGACTATTTTCCCAATAACCATGGTTATTGGGAAAATAGGTCTGTTTTTACAGGAACAGTTAAAGTTTATGAATGCAATTTCGACCAATCAGATTGCTGGATTACTTAATTGAGGTATATAATTAATGATAAAGATGCCTGTTGCCCTGGGTAACAGGCCGCATAGTTAAATTTTGCTGTCCATTGAATTTTTACACAATGATTCCACAGGCATAGCGTTGCACGGAATGAACAACTTTTCTTCAGAGTGAAAGAGTGATGGCTTATTTCAAAAGTATACCAAAACATTTCTATTTTTAATTCATTTTATATCTTGATTTTATTATTTCAGTACAGTGTGGTGTACAAGCAGGAGCAGGCGCACGATGACAGTATCTGGTGTGTGGCTTGGATGAAAAGTGATAGGGATGGAGTTGAGAACATCGTCACTGGATCAGTGGACGACTATGTCAAATGCTGGAACTGGTAAATATTCTTATCACCATGGGAATTCCCTTGGTGTTGGAAAAGTACACATTTTCATTCAAAAGAACTCATCAGTGAAAGCATAAAAGATAAAATTAAAGGACATAATAAAAAGGGGAAAAATTGAGGAAAAAAGTCAACTGTAAATATTCATTGAACTTCAGCATATATATATATATATGCATTAATTAGAGTTAATGTAATATGGCAATCATTCTAACAATCAACCACTATTCTATTTCTGTGATTCTAGAAATAAAGTATTTATTTAAAAAAAAATTTCATTAAATGATTTATCATTTTTTATTACTTATTCTTGAGAATTTTTACCCCAAAGTGTCAATTCAGTCTATGATATTTGATTTAATAATAATAATAATAATAATAATAGCCTAATAGTCCACTCCAAATTTTATTAAACCGAAACGGAAATTCTTTTTGCCCAATTGATCGTGAGCCCGGCAGCCAAACAAGGTAGCAACAACTCCCATCTTTTAACGTCTTTTGGTATGACGCGGCCGGGGTTCGAACCCACGACCTCCCGGTTGTGAGGCGGACGCTCTACTAACTGAGCCAACACTGAACATCGTAATAAGTGATGTTATTATTTCTTATTTGTGATTTCTCATTTTGATTTACCAGGGAGAATGATGAACTAAAATTAAAATGGACCTTGGAAGGACATCAACTTGGAGTGGTTTCTGTAGACATCAACCCAACGGGAACAAGTAGGTGTATCTTAAATCTCATAAGGGTTCCAGTCTTCCAGATTATACGGGTCGTTTGTTGTACTGTGTAAAGTGGGTATGGGATGATATCGCAATGTACCAGTGATAAGGCCTGTGCAGTGTAACAACCTTATCAACAAATTTTAACCCACTCCTTCACCAAGAAAGAAGGCCTGAAACATCCTACTTGAGAATGCCAGCTAAGTTTCTAGCCTTCTTCAAACCCAAATGTTACTGTGATTACCTTCCATTTCTCTCTTTAGAAAATTTAGCAGTTTAATTAGAATGTCCAGATGAAATTTGGGTGATGTCACTGATTGCTTCCTGTCAATAGACTGATTTGAAGATTCTGAAATTCAGAAATGGAACTGTGTTTTATATTTGTTACACTCTTACATAACTACTACTACTACTACTAGGAGTGACTTGACTTGACTTATTTGATTCATTACAATTGATTCAAACTTACAAATTACTATGAGATGTACCTGCTATGTGATGTGTAATTTCCTTTAGCTTTTTAAAATAATCTATCAGTTTAAGGTGGCAATGATGGCCAATTTTGAAGTGCTCAAGAATCTTTTGAGAAGTATGTTCTCTCCTGGATCCCTTCACTAAAGCCCAATTTTGTAATTCAATCATTTTGCAGGATGAAACTCTTATAACTCTAAACCACTTGCAAAATTCACAGAATTGTATGAAATTACAATATTCTCTGTCGTTTTATTCCACAGTTGCAGCCTCAAGTTCTCTTGACAGTCATATCAGATTATGGGATTTAGAGGTCGGCAAACAGATGAGGTCAATCGATGCGGGTCCAGGTAACTCAATTCAACCACATAGTATCAATAATTGGTGTTGTCCATACTTTGGGGTTATGCAATATTTTGTTGTTGTTAAAATTTTGTTATTATTTTGCACAGTTTTAAATTTGTTACCAGTGCAAATTATCATATTTTAGTGCTAAATTTGCTTTGAAATCTTTCAAAACTGAACAGAAAAAGACCAGAAGGAGATGATATGAAACGGAGAAGGCAACCTTGTTTGTGTGTGCTTAACTGATTGTTAAATATGTTTTGATACTCTAAAGTAGATGGTTGATGAAAACTATGTTTGTTATGGTAATTATGATGATGCCATGGAAATGGTAACATTGATACCTACAAATATCATGGTGGCTATGGTGATGATAGTGATATCTCTCATCATCCATCATTTTAGGTGCAGAGGGTAAGGGAGGTAAACCCTGTGCTTGATCAGCCCTTGTTTACTGCAGGGGGGAAAGGTCTGATCTATTTATCACATGACTAGCAATAGGACAAAATAAAAAGTTGTGATTGCATGTGACTCTCACTGAATATTTTTATACAGCTTTTCAACCTCTCTCTCTCTCCTCTTTTTTTTACTCTTTCTCTCTCTTTCTCTCTCTCTCTCTCTCTTCTCTTTTTCATCCCTCTCTTCTCTTTTTCATCTCTCTCTTCTCCTTTTTTCCTCTCTCTCTCTCTTCTCCTTTTCACCTCTCTCCCTCTCTCTTTTCCCCCTCACATTTCTCCTTTGCTGTCTTACTTACTTTTGTATCCTTTAATGTTGTATTTGGTGTACAGGGCTTGTGCCGGTTGTTTTGTAATTTCTTATTGATACCATCCGAAACCTTACTCGCTACTTGTTTCTTACTATATTATTAAATCTAATTTGATAGGAAGCTATCCAGACAGAACCTTTTCTTGTTTTTGTTTTTTACATCTGTGCCCTGTTCTGTTTTGTATTCATTCATTGTACATGTATATGTTATCCCAATTTATTTATTATATTTTACATGGAATTACATACATGTTTGTACCTTTGTAAAAATATTTTTAAAGATGGAATTGAATAAACTGAACTGAATCAAACTGTTTACCAAGCAGTTCTTACTCTTTTTCCCTATGAAATCCTATTACCGGTAGGTCCCCTAACCAAATGCTGCATGTACATGTTCTTGTCCATCGCTCCATTTACAATCATCATGTGTCCTGGCAATGTGTGGACGGGGTGTTGTTTCACTGAATAATCAACTCCATGACAGTCATATATTTGTCTGTGACCTACAGATATGTCAGTAAGGACAAACCGTTTCACAAACCATGATAACCAAAAAAATCATGATTTTGATACTATCTGCTAAAAAACATAGTCTTCGTCACGATCCATCAGAGTTTATCCTGAATTACCAAAGAGGTTGTGAGGCTTGATTTCACTTAAATTATTTGAAAAAAAGAAGTAGAAATCTAAGAGAGCTGTAGCACAAATGATCCAATTCAATTTGCATGAAAACATATGTTAAAGGTAATACAAAGTTTGGTATGGGGTTATGAAATTGGAAGCATATGCGATCCTACAATATTCAGTGATCGTTGCTCTTTATGGCGTATAGCTCCCTCTCAAGGTCATGATATTAATTAAGCTATAAAACAATGTTTCATGACTAAACTCGACCAGTTAGCTATTCCGGTTATCACATTTACATATTCTGTGATTTTCATTGTCGCAGCTACGATTGTATGGCCGTTCCTGGGAGCACCGGTAAATTTTTGTATTCAATTTTTCTTGAAAGCAGAAGTGTTTTAAGGGCTTAATTTTCTAGTGTTTATAATACATCCACAGGGACATCCAAATATATCACTATCCACCCAATTTTCAAAATTTCCCAAACATTTGTAATACCTTTAATAATAACATTTAAAAATTGAGGAAACTCAAGGTTGCTTTTGCGATGAGCAAATTGAAATTTGCCATTTTTTTTTGCAATCATTTCTATCATTATATTCATATTTCTATTTTGCAGTTGATGCATGGACGATAGCTTTCTCACCCGAAGGCCGCTTCTTAGCGTCCGGTAGCCATGTTGGAAAGATCAATCTGTTTGGAGTGGAGAGTGCAAAGAAAGAGTCCCAGCTAGACACCAGAGGCAAATTCACACTCAGCATAGCATATGTAAGTTTGAAAATGAAAGTATTATCACTATTGCAAGCATAATGTAAGAGGATTTTTGTGTTTGTTTTTGGTTTTGATACAAAATTGTATCAAAAGTCATTGTAATTGAAAAGTCTTGAAAAAACTTGCTATATTAGCTCAACATCTATCAATTTGTTTAAATGTTCAATTTATGAGCCAAACATGACATTTTTTAAGTTTTAAAAGTTAAGTGAAAAGTGTAAAAAGAATAGACATGTGTTTATCAAAGTATTTTGGCATAAGAAGGGGAATGTTTCACACTGTAACTTATCTGAAGGGGACAAAATCACACTAGTGACCACTATCTCTTTCCTTTTCAGAGTCCAGATGGAAGGTTTTTAGCAAGTGGAGCTATCGATGGCATTGTCAATATATTTGATATTCAGTCAAGTAAACTGCTTCACACATTAGAAGGTGAGTCATAAAGCACTAACAATGATAAGTATTTCTACTTAGCATTTTTATGCATCCGCTACAAAGTAGCCGGAAGCATTATGTTTTGGGTTGTCCGTCCGTCCATCCGTATGTACGTCTGTACGTTACGTTCTAGTGATCACGTTATCTCAAGAACCAATTAATGGATTCCTGCCAAACTTGGGTCATGTATGTATCTTGCAGAGCCAATGAACTGAGTAAATTTTGGGGTCATGAGGTCATAGGTCATGTGGCTCATTATGTATGCAAAAATAGCTTGTAAAAGCATTCTCGTTAGAACTGACGGATGGATTACTAACAAACTCAGGACATGTATGTATCTTGCAGAGCCAATGAACTGATTAGATTCCAGGGTCAAGATGTCAAAGATCAAAAGGGTCACATATGTATATGAAAAATAGCTTGTTATCATGATATTCTGAGAACCTGCTCATTGATTACAATGAATGTCAAACTTACAAAATTTGAAAAATTGCTTCTGTTTTGGTTTGTAAAATCGCTTTATGGGGGAGGCATCATTTTTTGGAGTGGGGGGGGGGGGGGGGGGAGTATTTCACAAAATCAGTGACCATAACCAAATCTCTGATACCATTAATGCGTTCCCAGTCAAATGTATTAGTCTTGTTTTTTGTATGCACTACTTCCAGGTCACGCTAAGCCGATCAGGTCACTGTGTTTCTCTCCAGACTCTCAGCTGTTAGCAACTGCATCAGATGATGGACAGATCAAAATATATGATGTGTGAGTAAATTATTATACTATGTGTCTTGTGTGTACAGGGGTGAACGTCCTGAGATCAGGGACCCGTTTCACAAAGCCTTTATTCAATGAAAAATGAAAAATATCGGTAACAAACCTGCTGATAACCAATCAGAAGCAAGGATTTCATTAGCTTATAACAACAACTGTCATTTGTCACTGATGACAAGTTTTGTGAAACATCCCCAGGAGGACAGAGTTACAGAAGAAATATGCCCATGACAGAAAATAACTCAACTATATTTAGTTATTTCCTATCCTGTTCATTACCAATAATATAACAACAAAATAATGGATATAGCATTTTCCTCTTCATTTGATTGAGTGGGGCTGTCAACTAGAATCATTAGGTTTATTTACAAAATGTTGGTATTAATGTACAGGACCTGCCTATTTTAATATTCTAGCCATAGCATTTATACAGTATAAAAACAGCATATTGCAGGGAAAAGGAATTCAAGAATTCTTTTCCCCGCTTCCATGAATACTTCTATATGCAGGCTCTATGGCTAAGTGGTAGAGCACTGGTCTTGTAACTGGTAGGTTCTTTGTTCGAACCCAAGTCGATACGGTAGCGCCCTTTGCTAAGGCATTAATCCTCATTACCAATTCCCTCAGAGATGTCATAAAGCCATTGGTATGCCCGTTGCTTTCTTACATGCATAAAGATTCTATTTGAAATGGATTTTATGCCTCTGCTACAAGTTAGCCTGAGGCATTCTGTTTTCGGGTTGTCCGTACGTCCCGTTCTCATGATTGCGTTATCCCAAGAACCAATTGATGAATTCCCGCCAAACTTGGGTCATGTATGTATCTTGCAGAGCCAATGAACTGATTAGATTTTGGGCTCACGAGGTCAAAGGTCACAAGGCTCATTATGAATGCAAAAATAGCATGTAATCACGATATTCTGAGAACCTATTAATGGATTACAATCAAACTTGAATGTTAAAAATTGCTTCTGTTTTGGTTTTTGTAAAATCACTCTATGGTGGAGGCATCATTTGCGACTGCACACATTGGAAGGTCCATCTAGTTTATATTTTCATTGTTTGCTCCTCTCATGCACAGACAACAAGCCAACCTTGCTGGAACCCTCTCTGGTCACAGCTCATGGGTGACTGGTATCCACTTCTGTCCAGACAACACACATTTTGTGTCCAAGTGAGTCACCAGAATGTTAACTCATTGAATACTATTAAAGCTGGAGATAAGTTAGTCCGAGGTCAATAGAAGAAGGAGATTTTAGAGCTGGAGTCCCAAGCTGGCAACAAATTATTTCAAGCAACTGCTGTTTTCTAAGGTTGCACAATAGAATCTACAAGTCTGCTGTTACCTTAGATGTCTGAGGTTTGATGCCACCAACATCATTGGAAAGTTTGAGTAGTGATTTTAAAAAAAAAAAACTATAAAGGGGAAAATCTAAAAGATGATAAAATATGAATACAAATGCCTAATTGTGTCAAGAAATGTGCTTACAGTATTAATTTGTGAAAAACAGTAACATTTTACAAGCCTAAAACCTGCAATTTGAGTAATTTTGATTAATATTTCAGGAAATTTTGCTCCATTTCCTTTCGCTTGCCTCCTATCTGTTCACTTTGTAATTCTGTTTCTTTGAACTGACAGTTGCTCCTTACCTTGTATATTGAACTTAAATTCGGCCTTAAGTTAATCATGTTGTAAATCTTACTAGATGTTTCCTTAGGCTGCCGAAGTTAATCAAACTGATTTAAATTATTTTTATTTGAAATTTGTTCTGTATCTTAGGCTAATTTTTTCCTTATATTCATAATTTTGTATTTTATATGCTCTTAGTTTAATGCTTTAGGTTCATTATTATAATGTTGTATAGATATATTGGACCTTCTTTTGTATTTGTATTTGATTTATAAGAAACCACCATTATTATTATGACTTGGGGTGATAGAGGAGACACACAATTGGTAGTTTTCAAATTCTTCCCTCAATACATGTGTATTGAGGGAATATAGATGATGTAATGACATCTATCATCTTTGTCTCTTCTCTCTTGTTCTCTTCTCTTTCTGATATTCACTCTCCCTTTCTCTGGAGATGATATTATGGTTTTAGAGGGAGTAGGAAAAGTACCTTTCTGTTTTTACCATTTTTACGGTAATGTTATGGTAAAGACTAGAACCAGGCTATCCTGTGTTTTAAAGCACAAAAAGTTGTCTCATTAGGCTTCCTGTTCATTCTTACATTCTACTCTGATGAGTGGAAGACAATAAAACATCAGCATGTTTTGTTCACAGCTCTACGTGTAATTAGACTGACATCACTGACTGTCTCTCACTCTCTCTCTCTCTCTCTCTCTCTCTCTCTCTCTCTTCTTAGTTCATCAGACAAGACAGTCAAGGTGTGGGACTGTGGAACAAGACAATGTGTAGCAACCTTCTATGATCACTACGACCAGGTAATACCTCAGCCAATCGCAGCCTAATTCTTCTCAAATATTACCTCTAGGAATTATAGTAATAGTAATAATAATGATAATGACAACAACAGTGATGATGATAATACCAGTATCATAGCGCTAGATACAATAATGCAAGACTGAGTAAATATCCAAGCCCGTTTCTAAAATTTCTTGTTAATATACTGCAGGCCTTATGAAGTAGAAGTAGCTGTCTGTTGCGAAGCGAAGATGACCGCCTTTACTTTAACTTTACAGCTGTTCTCCATACAGCTCGCTGGCCTGCAGCAGTTGTCCAAGACTTGGTTTCTATTTGCCTCCGCTTGATCTTGTCCTTGTAGCGAAGCCGTGGTCGACCAATCCCTCTTTCACCAGTATAGCCAGTTTATAATACTAGATGATAGCAAAAGGACTTGGCTAAAGTGGCTGACAGCTATAATCACTTTGAGAGGGGGGATTGCAGCCTGTGAGTAGGGTATCACAACAAAATGTTGTACTACAACCAGGTGATCTGCAGTCTGGGAGAGGCATATAATTTATCATTGCTCTCAGATTCTTCCACTTACTAATAATAATGATAATAATAATAATCTTTTACAGCAACAACAAGAAAAACAAAAACATTTTGTTCCCCCAAATGTGTTATACACTTTTGTATTGTACTTAACCCCTAACAAAGTGTAGGTAAAGTATAAACTCATTTTCTGTTTGTTTTCTGACTGGCAGGTTTGGCAAGCAAAGTACAATGGCAATGGATCCAAGATGGTCTCGGTATCGGATGACAAGGCAATACACATCTATGACTGCCCCATCTAGATTCTAACAGAAGAGTATTAAAGGACATATCATCAATGTTATATTTGCTCAAGATCACAATTGGCCTGTTCGTGGTTGACACCCCCCCCCCCCCAAGTACCCATTTAGGAAAGTCACCCCTTGGACAGTTACCCATATACACAGCTATCAAGTTGTTGTACTAAAGTTGTTGTACTGAAATGTGAAGGGAAAAAATACTGAAGGTTAGATGGAGAAAAAAAAAGAAATTTAGAAATAAAGTTCCTATGTTCTGTCTGCTGTATTTATGTGGGAAACTGATTTTCTCAACAACAACAAAATAAACAACTGATTTTCTGCCATGGTAATTCTGAACTGTTCCTGTGAAAGTTGGTATCTCTGCATATAGGGTGATTCCCAGTCAGAGTATGCGGGCCCTGTTTCACTAAAACACTTGATTGATCGTAAGTCCTCCAAGTCAGTTATAAATGTCAGTAATCTTTATTTGCATTTGAATGGTTAATTTAAAAACAGGCACTACAACTTTGGAAGACTCGGTCACAGCTACTTTTTAATAAATACTTGTTGTCATAATTCACTAATGATAACATTGATAATTTGTTTGTATATATTATATAATAAATCTTGCAAAATGTTGCATTGTTGCATTAACCTTACAAACTTTGTCTTATTTTTGTAGAGCTAAATTTGGAACACTAAACTTCTACACAGAATTTTGAGATTTTGCTCCATTGATTAATTATGGTAATTTATGCAAATTTATTCCAAAAATGATCTAAAAAGCACAACAAATGCTTCTTCTCCTTCATATTTCGACCGATTTTGATTTGGTTTGCTTTATATCGTAGAGCTAACTTTATTTATCTTGTGCTTGATATCCCACAGGTTAAAATCAAGCTTTGTTTTAGTTATAAGTACTGTAAATAGACTTGATAAAGCATCGGTGTGTATATATGTATATATTCTAAGGGATGGTTCACACATGTCATCAAATTCAACAATCCATAGCAATGGTTGGACTAGGGTTATAAAGATTGAGTCGTTATCATTATCAATTCAAGTCCACCCATAATACTAAGTCCACCTTCCACTGAAAGCCAGAAGGGCATTATTGTTATAAAACTCTGTATAAAAGTATAGAGGTTAACGTCCTTCTTGCTATTAGGAATGTTTGCTTCAGCATCAGGGGTGAAGTCAACCTTTCTCCTTGTTATGTTTTGTGAAAAAGAAAGTTTAATTTGAAATGACACTCGGTATCAGATATAATTTCAATCATGACAAGAATTCCTGATATGTAACTACATTTATTTAAACATGGGAGGTGCATGCCACCCCTCAGCCTTCTTTTGCTATTCAGTATCGGTGAATCCTAGTGAATTAGAATATGCATTCTTTTACGAAGGTACTCTGGTATGTTCAAATGCACGATGCACTTTTCAACATGTTCCTAGCTTTTGTTGAATTGCTGACTTTTGTGAATAAAAATATTTTTCATTGAGAAATCAGTGAGATTGTCCTTTTTTTCTTCACTGTAATCACAGAACAAATTTTAAAAAGAAAAGAAAATGGTGTATGATGGGAGCTTGGAAGAAAGTAGTAAGGAGACTGAATGAAATGAGTGAGAAAATGGATGAGTTGGATTTAAAAGTAGCATTTTTTGTACCACAAATCACTGCTTACATTCAAAATATGATACTCATTCTTCATAGAATTATGTACATGGTATGGCCAGAAACTAAAGTTTTGAAGAGAATGCCGACACCAGGGATATTATGTGAATGTCTAAACTTGAAATGATTTCACACAAGACAGTTACTTGGGGGAAATAATGTCATAAGGAGAAAGTTAACATGATGAGGGGCGGCACCAGAGTTTCTTTTAGCGGCGCAGGTCTAAAAGAGTGCTATCAGGAAGAAAAACAAATTTCTTAAACTTTTATGAAACGGTATATTTCTCCGAAAAGAGCAAACAAATTTACTTGTTTTGGGGTTAAACCATTGGTTGGCAATCGCCCTCTTTTCCCCTTGTCATGTCACCCTAAATGGAGAAAAAGAAGAAATAAGAGATGAAAGCAAAGGGAGAGATGAAGGAAAAGGAAAAAGAATGTGAGATAATATAAGGAGATAGATTGCTCATCAAAGATTGTACTATAATGTGCATGCACCTCTTGCAACATAAATGATAAAGAAAAAATCATGATTTTATATGATGTCGAGTACTAAACCTGTAAACAGGAACCGGATTTCAGTTAAAGTATAAGCAAATTCTGATAAAAAATAAGAAAGTTATGAATGTTTGAACTTGCAATCAATCAAACACATATTGGTATTAAAGATGAAGTTAAGTTGTGGTCATGCGATTGCATTGTGAAAGAAACGGTGTGGAATTGACCAGAAAAGGTTGATCATCTAGCATATAAGAATTTGTGTGTATTGCAAGGTTCTGGAATCATCAAAATGATAAGAAATTTGGCCAAGTCTTGGTAAAGTTACAAAAACTGTACACAGAAAGATGTATATGGGACTACACGAACACGTGGCGTAAAAATCCTACCCTGGATTTTTACGATGTTACTTGACAGAGCCATGCTTTTCAGGGAACGTGTCTTATCTGATGTTCTTCCACACTTGCATATAAATAAGAATGATAATGCTCACAAATTATTTTTCACCTCTTCCCAGAACTCAACCTGCTCTTTAAACACTGACATATCTTGCGAGGTCCTCTCTTATTTGCTCTGTACATACAATTTCATTTTTATCATTATTGATGCAGGAATAGAGGGGTTGTATGGAAACATATTTGCAACAATTATATTTAGGGTGCATGTATGGTCAAAAACTTTCTTGAGGGAAAATGAAAATTTCTGATTTCTTCTTTTTACTACAGAGCAAATAGGTGGGGACTTTGCAAGATACATCACAGATTTGCCAACTTGTGTTTGATTGATCACAGCTTTAAAAATTCATAATTTTCTCATTTTTACTCTGAATTTGCTGAAATTTGCACCAACCTGTAACTCTCAATTTCTGTTTCTATTAAAACCAACTTAATATCAGGGGAGAGATTGGGAGAGAAAGACGAGGAGATAGAAGAGGGGTAGAGAGAGAGAGAGACAAGTAAAGGGAAGGGAGATAGAATGATGGATAAGCGAGATAGTGAGGAAGGGGTGGTGGGGGGGGGGGGGAGAGGCAAAGGAAGGCAGAGAAATTGTAAGAGAGAGTAAGAAAGAGACAAACAGTGTCAGAGAGAAAGATGGTGGATTCATGCTTATTTGTCAAGGGGGGGGGGGGGGGTCTAAGAAACAAACACTAAGGCCCGAATTCACAAAGGAGGTTTTCGTGCGTCATATGACATGTTTGACACGTTTTCACAAAGCAGGTTTGAAAAAGCATGAATCCACCAGATCTAAAAACGCGTCAAAACGCGTCATATGACGCACAAAAACCTAGGTTTGTCGACAAACCTCCTTTGTGAATTCAAGCCAAAGAGATATCAAATTTCTACAGGGATGGAGGTAAACATGAATTGTGTATATGATTTGATTTCAGTTTCTTATTTTTAACCAATTTCCTTGTTCCATGGAAATATATTAGGCTAGTATCGGTGTACTTGTATGATTATTAATAGAAACTTGTACGATCTTCTCTCAAAATGTTCCTTGTGTACACATCCTGTACAGATCCACATTGTTTTGGAATATAAATGTAATTTTAAACATCAACCATTGAGAACATGACAAATCAAAATGCAAAGGACACTTTGTAAGTGAATTTTTCTTTTATTTACATTACAATGATATAGCATTAAATACTTGTTATATATATATATATATATATATCTGTATTGCCTATGTCGGTGCACACTCGTTTCATGCCAAAATTTGAGAAATGGTACAAAGAAAGTGCAAACACACCCCAAAAATTAACCTTTAATGAAAAACTGAATTTTGTTTTTTCCCTTATCATATCTACATAATGATACTGAACATAATGCAGAAATAAACATTGTAACATAACTGCAAATTGAATACTGACTCTATTTTTACTGCTAAGTGAAGAACTTAAAGGTTGGAAAATGCTGTCATTTTGTAAAGCACCTGAATGGGGAGATTAAAAGAAAAGACATCTCACAAACTTGTTCACCTCTGAATAGAGTGAACAATTAGAATCTTCAAAACATCTGAAATATACATGCTGCTTGTAAGTGTCGGCTTGCATGGTGATGTAGATATACAGTAGGCTTGCGTGTGCTCCTGACGACGGATAGTCAACCTGTTCGAAACGTCGAGCCACTCCCGCCACTCATCCTCTCCAAGCGCTATAGTTCTCCTTAGAACTATAAGCTAAGAAAGATAACCAACAGTCTTTTTCAAGACTATACCAAACAGTCCTTTTCAGGACTACAAACCCTCAAGAAAAATTACCAAGAGTTCTTTTCAGGACTCCTCAATCCTCCCTCTCTCTCACATGGTACACCCCCAAGCCTACTGTATATCTGAAATATATATGGTATTAAAAATCAAAAATCAAATATGCAGCAAAGAAATATTAAACTTTGTTCTTTGCATTTGACCTCTGTATTATATACTAGATTGCAGTGAAAAACTGTGTGTGTCACTCATGAAAGCACATTCTTTATGCCCTTTATATTTGAATGCATACTTAAAAAAGGTTTCAACATCTTAAATCTGGCATATTAGCTTTACAGTTGTCAAACAAAACATCATACTAGACAAAGCTATACACATGACCTATATTAGAAAATAATAACATGATTTTACAATATGAGAAAATCACTTCCACTTTTTCCATTAATCCCCCTTAAATAAGATTCTTGCAGCGTATTTGCTCTGCCGGCTATTTGGCTTCAGAGAACCTCCTGCACGTCTGAAGCGCATAATGAATATTCATTTTGACTCGACTCATCAGATTAATGCACACAGAATATGTGCAAAATCTCCAATCCATGAGGTGTATACTATTGAGGCATATATGGCAATTAAATACTGAATCACAATGTCTTTCAGCATCCCACTTGGTCCTCATTTCTCTCTTGGGTATTGAGAAGGCAAAGTATATATTACAGTCAAACCTGCTGTAGAGACTACTTGAATAAAAGCACAGCCTGCCAAAAGAGACCAATTTTGTTGTGTCCCTTAAAAATGATTTCTCATTGAAACGTGTATTAATGAAACCTGTACATAACGACCACCTGCCAATAAAGACCCCTTTTCTTGTCTCACTTGAATCTATACAGGTTTCAATGAACCACGTCAAGGGTCAGACCTCACTGATAGCTATAATTATAACAAGAACTAGATATTTCATTAAAGTTACCTTTAGTTGCCCTACTATCATAAACGTGCAAACTCATATGTACACATAATGCCCAACCTTACAACTTTGTTGGACCTAGCTAGTGCTGAGCAGATCAGCCAGCTCGGCACATGCTAAGCACTAGGTACATGAGAGGGCTAATAGCTCACTTGAAACTTTGAAATGGTCAGTAGTTGTCAAAAATGATTCAGCATTCTATATCTTAGTGTAAGAAGTGAATAATGTCGATTTGAAAAAGGGAAAGGCATTCCTTATTTCAAACCTGCTAACACTGTATAGGAATTTACTACAGCTAGGTCAAAAATTCCTGGAGAGTTTTGAAAAGCTCTTGAGGAGCTTGTCCGCAGCAATCCCTGAGGTGCATCTGCCAGCCATTACCTCCTTCTCCCAATGCTTGATCTCTGTTAGGAGCTCCTGACTCTCCTTGAACTCTTCCATCATCCGATCCTTGATGTGCTGCCACATCCACACCCTCCTCTGGCGCTGTCGCTTGGTGGTGAACTGGCCGGCTTCCATCATGATGCCTCGGTACTCTTCCATGGTATCCCACGCCTTGCTCAGGCCATCACCGGTCTTGGAGGACACCTGTTTGACCTGAATAGGGTGTCCATCATAAAGAAAACATTATGTACTTAGAATGAGCAAACTGCTGAAAGTCTTGTGTTTAATAGATGTAGTAACTTCACTTTGTCAGCAGATGTCCTGTAGGCCACTGTTTTACACTCGGATAACTATGTATGAATTAAATTTAAGAAAATTTATCCCAAGCATAAAAGAAGCACATGGCAAATATAATTGATGTATCCTCTGTCATACATAATATAAAAATTTCCAATTCTGTAAAGGAAGCAACACTGTTGACAGAACCAGGCATCACTACCAGTATTTCATACACACAGTTATATGCTAACCTCTATTACAGTTGAATTGTAAAATCTGCAAATGTGTTGCAAACTGAATGATATGGTATACTGACTTGTCCCAGGGCTTCTATAATGTGCTGATGTATTTAAAAACCTGACATGAATCTTTTGCAACTTACTTAAGACTGCCTTTATGGTAGCAAGAATTTTTCACTCATTTCAAAGATTCGGCTGTAATTGAATTATTTTGAGGAGTGTGAAGCTATAGCGAATCCGGAACAGTAACACTGTTTGCACAAGTTTTACACTAGTGAGATGCCCCAGCATTACCCAAACTGTAACCCTTAACTGTTACTTTGTTAAATAAGAGCAGTTTCTTACCTTGGGGGCCCACAATGGAGACCTCTTATACATGAGCTTCACAGCGCTTGTATACTCGCTCCTAATCCTACGTGCTGGGATGAGAAGCTCACCGTCTGCCTTGTTGATGAGGATGAAGTCTGCCCTCTCTACGATCCCCTTCTTCAGACCCTGGAGCTCGTCGCCCCCTGCTGGTGGGATCAGGAGAACCAGCATGTCCACCATGTCTGCTACAACGTATTCTGATTGGCCAACGCCTGTGCAGTACAACATAAAATCGTTGAATATTTGTTTTTATCTCTGTCATTTGTGTACACTTGCATGCAACCTAACTGTACCTAGATAGTAGGCTGTTACCCTACTGCTTTCATCCTGAAGTAAAGCTAGGAAACGTCAAGTAAGTTGAAACTTATGAATCCAATCACTTACCAAAGATAATATTATATCATTATCATTAATATGATAGACCAAAACGTTTTTCAAGTACAGGGAAGAATTTGTAAACTGCAACATTTAACCCTCTCATTACCAAGATCACATTTTTGCTCCATTACAAACATTCAACGCAGTGCCCTCTCATTATGACTCATGATTGGGAAGCTAGAAAGTATAGTGTTATGGTGAATATAAACAATAGGGGAATTTACAGAGTCTTTTTTTAATACATTTGAATAATGTGGCAGAATTCAATTATGTATTTAGTAACCATAGTGTCTGGAAAGAAAAGGATTAAAAACAAAGCTCTCATAACCCTCCAGTTCACCTATTTGATCTTCATCACACTCATACCTATTGTTTCCACAATGATGACATCATAGCTTGCTGCCTCACATAGCAAGATGGTATCATTGGTGTTCCTTGTCACACCCCCTAGAGTTCCAGCAGAGGGCGACGCCCTGATGTAGGCGTTGGGATCCCTTGAGAGCTCTGTCATCCTTGTCTTATCACCAAGGAGAGAACCTAATCAATGATTGAAAAAATAAATAAATGAATAATAATTTAACAAATATCTTTTAGTAAATAATTAACAAATAAATGAACAGATATATAAATAGTAAATAAATAAATAAAATATATAAATAAATACAAATATGATAATAAAAACAACAATACTACTTCCAAAAATATCATTTAAATGAAGAAATTAAATATTCAGTTTATTTATGAAGTACCTCCACCATAAGATTTAAGGAGATTGAACATCATAATTGTCCCAGTTTTAGGGAAGCTGCAATGTACCATGATAGAGTGCATTGAGAGTGCACTCAACAATTCTATTTTATTTTATTTCTATAAGGTACTCTGCATTTTACTCAAATTTAGATAAATGTATTGTCTTGACAAAGGACACTGAGGCTATGCCAGTGACTCAACCCATGACCTTTATATCTGTCTGCAGCCTGATGTTTAAACTGCTTGACTATGACACCCAACTTTCAAGAATATTGTTCAAAAAAGTTGTAAGCATGGTCACAAGAATGAGATCCTATTTGCTCTCACCTCCAGTAATCGATGATGAAGGATCAACAGCAAGAACAGCCACACGGTGGCCCTCTGCGGTCAGTTTCTTTCCAATCGCTTCAATGAAAGTAGACTTTCCAGCGCCAGGGGGACCAGTCAATCCTACATGAAAATGGCAAAATAATGAATAGAAAATAGAAAACATTGAAAAGATCTGTTTCTTTTTTATTTGTGCAAATTGTTTGGCAATGCAGTGGGACATTTTAAAGTCCCAGATATCAGTAAATGAGATCGGACATTACATATGAAATCATCCGAGAGAACTGATATATTTTCATGATTCAACACCAAATGTATAATATTACCAATAAAAACCTTTGATATCTAAGGAGCATTAACACAAATTTATAGTTTTTTTCCATATACTAAATTGCTTTATTTTCAATGAATATCAATATGGTGAATCATAATGTGATTTTTATAGCAGCCCCTTCCCTCCCATGCAGTTTAACCATCTTTCCATGTTTAACTTCCGTAAAAGAAAGTGGGCAAGTTTGTAAAACCTTGAATCTGAAAGATAAACAACAAAATCTAGTGCTTCACAATATTAGGGCTTCAACCTTTTAGATTCAGAATGACCCCCCAATTAAATATAATTATTTGATTGAGAGTCACAAAAATAGGTAATGGATAGATACATCATTCATTGTTAATGAAGTTCTTCAATACCTATTCTAAATGAAGGAGGTGTTCCTCTGTTCTTCAGCTGCACTTCTCGAAGGTGGTCCAGGACTCTTCTCAGCAGGACCTGGGCTTGTCTCTTCCCCTTCTTATGGGTTGCTTCCACCAGAGTTATGGCTCTTGCAAGAGCCCATCTCTCACCAGCCAACAAAGCATTGCTCAGCTCCTGCGCATAGATCTCTTCCTGCTTCCTATCCTCTTTTACAGCAGGATGCTTACAACACATATTCAATGTCTCATGATGGTTATCAGATGACGACATTGAAAGATGTCTTGCTGATTTCAGTTGCGAGCTTTTGGCCCATGCCGATCTTATTTTACTGCAAAGCTTAATTGAGCAAGGGGCCGAAGATGAAACCGAGGACTGTACATTTTTCTTTGTATTTACTGCCTGATGGAATGGAAGTAAAGTTGAGAAGTTTCTTTTTGGTATACAGTAAGACAATGTTTCTTCTCCATGACTACTCACAGAATTACAGCTACATATACTTCCATTTCCTTGGGGTATATGTCCTCGGCCATTTAAATTGCTCTGAGGCACTATGTCCAAAGCAGAAAAGTGACCGGTGTTGATTAAAGTTTCAACGCACCTTGCAGCAGTGGGAAATGTTTGCAGCATACTGCTTCCTAGCTTCACTCGACAAGAATGACAGATTGCAGCCATTTTCCCATGATCTATGCCAATGGATTTCAGCCTCTGAAACACAGCACTCATTATGATAAAGTGAACGCTTCTTTGCTAGCTAGAAGAAAGACTTGCCAGTAAACCTGTAAATTAAAAATCGGCAAAGAGTTGGTAATCAGAAAATTATTTATCAAGCCCAATAATCCTCAAAATATTCAATCATACATGCACCCTAAATATGATAATTAGTCAATTACAATACTGTTTCTTTAAACCCACTGTTTGGGAAAAATTAAGATCTATTCTGTTATCAATAACGAAGAAAACAAATTTTGCGTTCAAGTTAATAATAATAATTATAATTGCTTATATAGCACCTAACACTTACTTTATGAGAAGTCTCTAAGTGCTCTACAATAATGCAGCATAATTACCCTGGCTTTAGCAGTGCAGCTGTTATGCACGCTGCGTTTCAAGGAATAAATTCCTACCAGGTCCCCATTTACTTCACCTGGGTGGAGTGTGGCAAATGTACAGTGTAGATCAATATCTTGCCAAAGGACATTAGTGCCGCGAAGGTAAATGCGAAGGGAGCTCACAAGATATGTCACAGAGTTGCAATTTTTTTTTGATTGATCGCAACTTCAAAAATTCAAAACTTTCTTAGACTATGTTGTAATGAAATTTAGTCTACTGGAACTTTCTCTGACCTGACGTTCCTTTCAGTTTTCTGCTTCTAGTTAAAACCAACTTAATATCATGGAGGGTGGACTTATATGGCAAAGCCAAAGACTAGTAAGCAGCTCAAAATAATGTAAACCAAATACATCATATAGATCTATATGTAAACTTCATTTACAGAGCCATGTCAAAAAATTACTTTCCAAAATATACTCAGCTCATTTCACGTCGTCACATCATCATGTTCACAATCACAGAAACCAATTCACTCTAAAACTTGAACTGAAATTAAAATTAATGTTGTAGGTGTTTAATTTGACTACAGTCGATATCAGACAGTCATTTTTTTTCTTCTTCTCAAGTTCATTTTTCACGATGACAAAAATCACTAAATCACATTGATTATCAATAAAAATTAAAAATGTAAGGTCTAATTAAGACTATAGACAATACACCAGTTTACAGTTGTATCAGTGCGCATGCGCAGACATGGGCGCCATTTTAATTGGCGAGTAAACAAAGCCAATGACCTAGAGGTCATTTGGTTTGTGCGTAAATTAAGATTGCGCCCATGCAAATTATGATGTGAGCGCACAGCATGCAGCACAGCGTGCAGGCAGTGATGTTATCATAATTTGCATGGGCGCAATCTTAATTTACGAATAAATACCACTGACCTCTAGGTCATTGGCTTTGTTTACTCGCCAATTAAAATGGGGCACACAACTGTAAACTGGTGTATTAATCACAATGCCATCAATCATCATGATTATAAAAGTTGTTAGGTTCTAATCATTAATGTCATAAAATATTAATAAATGTGAACGCCAAAAATTTCAACTTACTGATTTTATACATTGGAAGAATAAGTGAATCAGCAAATCTCGTCTTTTGACCTTATAATTTTGATAATTATCCGCATTTTTTAAATTGAAGTGAAGGCTCTGCCAGTCTGGATCTGCTATGCTAACTTAGTCTTTTAAACATCCTTGGATATTAAAAGAAGAAGTGAATGAATTCAAATGCTCCATATAATTGCCTTTTTATATTTCAAAAAATTCATATTTAATATCGAAATTAGATTGATATCCAATTTTAAGATCATTTTGGGGGATAAAATGAGAATTGTTATAGATTTATTTTCGCATAATATTCTTAACTTTAATGCATGAGACTATTTCAGCAAAATGGCAGCCTCCATGCTCACACGCAGAAGTTTGTTTCGTGCAATAAAATCTGCAAGATTATCATCCCCAACGTCGTTTGCGTGCAGAAAATTACAAGATGTTTATCAAGGACATTCTGTGACACAAAGACGAAATTTCAATGACCTTCTTGGTGACAAAACTGTGCGGATTGGGTGTGCTTCTGGATTTTGGGGAGACACTGCAGTATCAGGTACCGTATCATCATCATGATCATGACAGAGGCTCTTCGCGCGGATCCGGGACCCGGCTACTCCCGGCGCGGCGCTATACCACCGGCGGCCAAGTCGTGTAAATGGGCGGGGCTGCTCCGCGCTCCTGAGCTGAAATGGGCTGAGCTCTGAGCCCGCAATCACACATATTCTTGACAGTTGCAACATAGATCTAGGTCTAGTCTATTAACTTAAAGACTAAGTTTTGAATTTTCGATGCGCGATTGATCTTTAGAATTCATGTAAAAAGGTAAAATGGACTCTAGACCTAGACTAGCGAGTCTATAGACCCCATTCAATTATTAAAAGACGAAAAATAGAAATTAAAGAATTTTAGGAAACAAATATATCTAGACTTGCATGACTAGAGTAGAGTAGAGAGTCTACAAATGGTTTGGCAAGAGTTTTTCCAATGGTTTAGAGCTAGACAGAGTCAGAAATAACCGTCTGGAGTGGAAGGGGTCATTCTTTAATAAAACTGACATTAGTAATACTAGTATAGAGGAGGTCTGAGGAGCCAGATGTAATCTTAGCGGAACAACCGTCGATATCAGAGACTGAAACTTTGGGTAAAGTATAGAACCTAGTATCGTAATCGTATCTTTCAAGGTTCCAAAAAGAAAAAGAAAAACAAATTAAAAATCATTTTGGTATTTGTCATGAAAGAGTAAAAGCAAAATGCATTTTAACAATTTTGACAAAGAAGACAATTCGTTCTACCCCCCCCCCCCCCAATGCTTGTACCAAGTCCCTTTAATTGATTGTCAACCGCCCCCTGGCCATATGCGTGCATGAAGAGTGATGTAAAAGAAATTAAATGCATTTGTAATCAAACATTCCCGCACCCGTCAAACCTTACAAATTTTGCTAGCTGGGGGCCGTTTCTCGAAACCAACTCCATGACAGTCATATCTTTGTCGCCGACCTACGGAGATGTCATGAAGTGGATAAACCGTTTCACAAAGCCATGACAGACATGAAATCGATATATCGCGATACTAGCAGCTCTAGAAGATAGTCTTTGCCACGATCCATTTGATTTATCAAGAATAACCCAAAACAAGTTTTAGGGCTAAAATTGTTCAAAAAGAAATATATACATATAAATTCTCCTAAAATAAATAATAAATAGTGTCATTATCAAATGTAGATCATCAAACGATTTGCATATTTCTGTAAAGATTCTTAAATTGAAGAAGAACGGGTGAGTGTTTTTTTGTTGACAGTCGAATCAAAAGTTAGTTGAAGGATACCGTAATGTGATAGTTTGTCAATACATACTTTTTTGTTTATTGTGACGAGGAATTTTAGGCAAAATACCTTTTCTCAGCTAGTTTTTATTCTAGAGTCTCATAAATACTCGTTATATAATTGATTTGATATTGAAAATATAATTTGGAAGAAGTAATTAGAGAGGGAATAATAATGCACATAGGCCCCAAAGGTATGACGGTATCCTAAGAAAAGACTATGGATGGACTATGGAAAACGGTGTGTAACATTCTTATCTCTCTTATTCATATGTTATAGTTTAATGATTTGTGATTTAATGTTTATATTCAGCTTTTTAAAGTTTCTGTATAATATGTATTCTCACTTTTGTGCATTTGCATTTCGCATCCCAGAGAATTACGTACCGAACTCGTCTATATTTTTCTCAAAATGATAGTGAAACTAATCGTACATTTCGCGGCCCATGGAATGGCAACAAACTGACATGTGATGGCGCTTTACAGCAATTAAAAAGATATGACGGGTTCGGAGCAGTGACAACTCGCTTGTCGCAGAAGTTGTCGCTCATCTTGGCAAAGACGGCTTCGTGAAACACTTAGCTGACAAGTTGCACGACAGTGGCGAGATGTCGTTGAACTTGTAGTTATGACGGTTTCGAGAAACGGCCCCCTGGTGGACAGTGGAATCTTCTTTCTTCTTGTACAAAGCATGTTGAAATGAATTGGGGGAGTGGAAAGATTATTTTTATTTCTTTAATTTATTTATTTATTTATATAGTTATAGTGTCTAACTTTATTTATTTGTTTATATATTTATTTATTTATATATAGCGGTATATTTATTTATAGGGTCTATGTCTATTATTTATGTATTCATTCAATCATTTATTCCTGTTATAATTTTGTATTTTTTTGCTTGATTCTTCTTCTTGCAGCACCTCAGTTAGTTCACCATGGCAAGATTGATTATCTTGTATTTGATTACCTGTCAGAGATTACCATGTCCCTTCTTGCTGCTGCCAGGAGGAAAAACCCAGTAAGTGATTTTGTGTGGCTGCTCCATTTTGTTTTTACAAATTGTTCAGATTAATTTAGAATGTTATTTCATAGATGAGCTCATTGTCACCTACAAGGATAAAGAGTTGGATTAGGAACTTATTTATTAAGTTAAAGATTTTTCGCATTCAAGTGATTGTAAGCTGCAAATGTGATGCACTACATATAGTCCTAAGAGGAAGGGAAAAGTTGTTCTCTATCCCTCATATGGACTCTTTGTTTTCAAAATAAAGTATCCAGCTTAACTTTGGCTGAGGTACTGAGTGTTCTAAGGTCCCTGTGAATTATTTAGATAATATTTACTTTCATCTTTTGTAAGTTTTTGTGTTCATCAGTATGGATAAGGAATCCATTCACTTTTCAGGGATACATCTTGACAGAATAAAATCATAAATTGGTTGTTATCAATGTCTAATATTGTATATCTGTTTTGATCCAAGGACATGGGCTATGCACCAGACTTTGTGCAGGTCATCATCAAGCATCTCTTGCATGATATCAAGAAGAAAGGAATCAAGGTGATAAGCAATGCCGGAGGAATCAACCCTCATGCTTGTGCAGCGGCCATTAAGCAAGTGGCAAAGGATGCAGATATTGATATCAAGGTTGCTGTCGTGTCCGGAGATAATCTCATGGTTGATGTAAGTTCATTCATTTGTTCCAGTCCCATTCTAAATTGTTTAACCTTTGCTCCATAATAAGTCTACATTTATACATGTACATTTCTTAAAGCGGTTTTTTTTTCAACCGGGATGACGCAAGGCATCTCCAGGAGTTGCACAAGAGAAATTCAGTTATATCAAAATTTATCTGGGAAAAAGGTCTTGAAATATTAGAAACCGCTCTGTATTTTCATGAGGAAATATTATTTTAAAGTAAAGATTATTTTAAAGTAAAGATAGGAAAGATTTGATTGATGTGAAACTTTTTTTCCTATTAAAAGGTTCCCTTTTCAAGATAAAAACTTTGAAAAACGCCGAATATGGCATTGCCAAAACTAGTATATTGCATTGCAAAGTTTTATACTATTTCCATCATTACTGAAGATTTTGTTGTTCTTTGTAAGATAGTGTTACTTTTTAAGAGTATTTCATTTACACATCTCATGATAATTATATATATATAAGATAACGTATTGCTAGGTTTTTTGTTTTCCTATCTCATTCATATAATAAAGAAATTACATAAGAAGGAGCCAAGCATAAGAATGGAGAACAAAATATATAATTATGAATTTTGTCAAAATTTCTTTCAGAAAAAAGCTGTGTATGCCACAAACCCAACAGATCTTGATTCTGGAAACCCTTTGCCTGAATCACTTGTAACAATGAATGCTTACTTTGGGTGAGTCAAGAATTGTGTACCATTATTATTATTATTTTTCTGACCCATCCTTGTGCAGGTTTCTCTATTTTATTTCTGTGTTTTCCCCTCCTATATTATCTTTACAATAACTCTATTTTTGTTACATGCCACATTATTTCTTTGTTTTCTCAATTGTTATTCTCTCTCTCTCTCTCTCTCTCTCTCTCTCTCTCTCTCTCTCTCTTTAATACAAAATGTATTTATTGTTAACATGGATCAAAATTAGGAATGAATGTTCTCTGGTTGATCATATTAAGTGAATTACTATCTGGACTGTCTGAAAGGCTATTGAGATATACAAGTAAATCAATCATTTGCATGATAACCACGTACAGTGGGTGTGTCATTCAACTACAAGTACTGTAGTCATGGATACTGCCTGCTGAGAGTCACAAGGGCTTTATCTGTACCGGTATGTAGAGAGCTATACGTCAATGCCTTTCTTCCTCTCAGCAAATAATTTGTCTATGCTTATTGTTAGTTAACAAAAATGATTTGTTGGACTTCAATTCAAATCCTGAAATACCTTTGGTATCGTTTCATTGATTACAGAGCAACGCCAATAGCCCGGGCCTTGGACCTAGGTGCTGATATAGTTGTGACTGGTCGATGTGTAGACAGTGCTGTGGTACTAGGACCCCTCATGCACACGGTATGTATTCACAAAACACGAAGAGTTTGGGACCTTATTGAATCAATACAACTAATCTATTCTGAAGTATCATTCAACCTTTTTTTTGGGGGGTGGGGGTTCCATTATTGTTGTTAGTTAGTCTGGTCACTTGAAGGTTAGAACACATAAGTTTGTCTGTTCATCTGTGTTTAACACATAATTCTGTCTGTCTGTCTGTCTGTCTGTTTGTCATTAATTTGTTCTCTGTTATTGTTGATAGTTTGGCTGGTCACCTGAGGATTATA